TTTGCAGAACAGGACACAAAGAGATTTTGCATTATGGTCTTTCAGTTTCTCTGGTAGTATAGGCCTAATGGGGCATCATCTAAACCGTTGGTAGAATGTAAGGAAATGTCCTTACTATATACATGATGGAATTATAGTCCACTCACATGAACTCACTTCTCTCAGGTCACACAGATAGAAATTCTAGAAAGAAACTAAAAAGGAGACTTCCTGAGCTCCCATGTTCCCAGCACCAATTAGTAAACTACAGAATGCATTTATCATCTGACATATCAGATCATCCCATAGATCCATGTTGATCCGGCAGAAGCTGTGAGCAACACATCTGCACCTAATACAGGCTTGCTCTCTCCCCAACCTCTTTAATAACCTGTGGAAATATCTGCCCTGGGCAACAACTGGGCTTGGCAACTCTCTGGAGAAAGTTCCTTGTTGATCCTGTAAATCACCCAGCAGCCATTCCTTTAAAAAGTGTCTTTTGGGGAACAGACTGAAGTTTGAGAATTGGCAGGAAAGGAAACCTGTTCATCAAAAGGGAATGAGCTCCAATTTGTGCTTGCATTTGCATTGGCTAGAAACAGGTGGACATCTTGAGAATGTGAGCTTTTGAAATGAGCATGGAGCTCGGCAGAAGAAAGGACTGTTCTATCAAACAATCATCCTCTGGACCCAACCCATCAGGCAGCCTGTGTACTGAGAATTTATGGATGTGTTTTCAATTTCTCTGATAGAATCTGTTTGGATTGAGGACGGCTGTTTAATCTTTGAAATAATGTGTTCCATAACAAATGCTGAAATCACATAGGAATTGCTCCCTTCATTCTGTGAGCCAAACCCTGACTAAAGGGGTTTGGAAATCCCCACAAGGTGCTCTTTGCTTATTGCTCATTCAGAAAGGAAAAAAAAATTCTTTAATGAAATGTAATGTTGAGGAACTGCCAAAAATAGAAGCTCCCTATCTGCCTCCACATAGCTTCTTTCTAGCCAATTAACTACCAATGAACTGAGAAGAGGCACAAGCATAGACATGCCAGCGCTGCACATGGCCCCAGGCAAACATGGAAGTTTCTGGTCCTGACTCAACCTACAAAAATCCAGGAACCCCATGCATGACCCAGACTTTTGTGAGGCCATTCTGACTGAGCTCCCAGGAGCTATACTGAGAAGTTGTCACCTTTGGGACAAACCTTGTGTGTTTGCTATGACTCTTGAGTTTTTCACTACATCCTGTTAAAGACAAATATCTAATGCCCTCCAAAGGCTGTTCTTTCACAAATTCTACTAACAGATTTATTTCTACATTAACACTGTGCTGGAGGGTTTTTTGTCTAGTGGGTATTAGGCTTTATATTGTCTGGAAATAAACAACTCGTACACATTCTTGTTTATCATGGGATTTTGTTTCAAATTTCAAATTGATCATTATACGATCCATTCATATTAATGATTTTTCTCCCCAAGCTAATATAAATCTACAGAAAAATTTGAAAATTTCTTTTGTTTCTTTTCTTGTAACTTCCTTCCCATGAACTTGGAATCAATAAAGAAACAATTTTGAAAACTCTTAAGAGGTGTGAATTTTGGAATTTTTCTTGGTTTGTGGGGAATATGTCACTTTTGTTTTGTTGCAAAATGAACAGGAGCTGGAAAGAGAAACAATTGGCTATCCTAATTTGTGTTTACATTATCGAGTGTCTTATTATCAAAGTAATATGTGTGTGCACGCATGTGGCATGTGTATGTGTTCTTTACCAACATTAGATGAATTTTCAGTTAAAGATAATGAGAAGGCTTCATATTGGAAGAAAATAATAGTTACATTTGCATGGCTATTTTCTATGCCAAGATTTTACAGTAGTTCTTATATTTAATTCTCACAGCCATGCTAATGGGTGAAGGATATATCTCAATCTAAAAAAAATGGGGAAAACCAGGCTCTAAGACAGCCTTCCTATACTGTGACTATTTGTGGTGACCCCCAAAATAAAACTATTTTCATTGCTGCTTTCATAGTTATGATTTTACTAATCTAAATATTTGATATGTAACCCAAGGGGTATCACTACCCACAGATTAAGAACCACCACTCTAAGACATTTGATAAGGTTGAAAATGTCACTCAGCTAGGTCTTGGTGGACCTGTAGTTCAAGTGCTGTCCATTCAAGTGCTGTCCATTCAAGGCATCTCACATTTACGTAACTCTTTGAACGCCTTTAAGTGTCACTGATACACCAATGACCTGATTTCCATTTCTAACCTTATTGATTCCTCTGATCTCTATACTTGAAAGCTTAATGTTTGTTTCCCCATCAATATTTTCATATGAATTTCCTTGTCTCATCTAGGACATCTCAGTCAATATAGCCAGTCTATCAGGAAGCTTGTTGGCTCTTCCACAGCAATCAAGTCTTTATTCATGAACTTGACTGGAGCAAGCTTCCATCCTTGTTCATCTGGCCAGACTCCTGACTTCCAGACTCACTGTCCATCAGACAGAATGGTTTGTGATCAGCAAAAATCAGGTTATGTTTAAACCCCTAGAAACATCTAAGTTCTTCCTCAAAATCCCGAGTCTTTACCTGCTCCTTCAAGATCCTCGGATATTTACTAATGTTTGCTCTCCCGCCAAAAATGAGTGTCTCATTGTCATGAAATGTCCTCAGTTATTAAAACATTAAATGTCCTATTCTGTAATCTTTGAAAGACATGAAGAATGTCTATCTAAAATATATCTACGCACATCTAGAAAATATTAACTAACATGACTACAAGCTTTACTATTATCGATGATTATCCATTAACAACCTATATTTCTTAATTATACAGTACATATTTAAATGAACTACACAATCACAATAACTTAATCAAAATCAGAAACACTTATATATATAACAAAATTGACCTTAAATCTCTATCAATAAAGCAAAATCTACACTAATGCAAATTATTAATACCTATATCATATCCCCCTTTAAATGTAAAAGAACATTTATAAACATTTTTTGGGAATATGGGCGCAGTTATTTCTCTCCAAACTGCTTCCTGCTGAATGGGGGCGTCGTTAATTAGGTCTTTCATGGTATAACCCGTGTGCTAGTTTCATCTCAGTTGGCAGTTGAGCGAAGCAATTTTTTGAAGGCGTTCACACCAACCCTTCAGGAGGGCGTGGTCCATCATACCAAATCGGAATAGAAGAAATGAACAGTGTCTCATCCTCTGTGAAAACAAAATAAGAAACTCCTTTCCAAAGTATCATATCCTTAGATTCAAATTCAAAATATCTATGTTGGATTAGTTCAGCAACATTTATAAATAAATATCTTTTAGCAGCTGTTGCTCCTTCCTCAGCATTCAAATAATTCAAAGAGAGCATAATAGCATACAGTATCAAGATTCTCTATGTATTTTCCATCTTTGTACAGCTTTGTTTTAACCTCTATTTCGTTTATTTTTACTTTTAACTTTTTGCTTTTTGAGACAGGTTCTCTGTATCTTTGACCTGAAGTAACTCTGTAGACCAGGCTGTCTTTGAATTATCAGAGATCCGCCTGTCTCTGCCTCCCAGGCATTGGGATTAAAGGTGTATGCTAAGACACCTTGAACTCACAGAGAATTGTTTGTCTCTGCCTTCTAGGCACTGGGATTAAAGGCGTGTGCTACCACACACAACAACTCTCTTCCTTTTTTTGTTTTTTACTTTAAGAACTTCAACTTTTAGTCTGCATATATTTTTAACACACTTTAAACCATTCAGAAATTTTCTCTGTCTTTGAATCTCTCTTTACTGTATATCTCTCTTTTTCTGACCACATGAATCTTTAATTTACCAAGCAATCTCAGTAGGACTAAAGGTGTGGCTTTGCCAGCTAGATCCAGTCCTTTCCTTAGCTTTCCAGCCTCATGGCGGATACACAGGCTGTAGCCATGTTTACTGCAACAACTGTATGGCATTTCAAGGTCCCTGCCAGCAAGTGAGCTACAACAGACAACACTCAAGTCCTCTCTCGGTAGCCGGCCCTCCTGCCTCAAAGAGTCAGAGTTTGCCCTGGCAGGATGGCCCAGAAAGCCGGCATTTTTAAACGGCGCAGCTTTTTTCCTGCTACGGCTGAAAACCGAAAAGCATGCGTTCAGCTTTTCGTCAACACCGTTTAAGTGTTTCGTGGCAGGACCTCTTAATGAGCTGCAGGCTTTGCAGCTAAAGCTGAGTCAGGAAGCTTCTCTTAGAAGAAAGCGCATGCTTGCCTCTAACAAGCAGAGCAGACCCGAGAACACAGGGAGTCTAGTTGCCATCAAACAAATCGTAGCACTTTACTCCAAATGCTCTATTCAAAAGCTCTGTCTTCTGCAGGAGCCAGACAGAGATGGCAATGGCGGCACTGCCCCAGGAAATCGCGCTTTAAAATGACAGAGCGTTTTTTCTGCTACTGTTGCCAAATCAGGAAATCTCTCTACAGCACGCCACCAACAAACAGCAAAAATCTGTGTTAAACTCTCTCTCCCTTATTTTTAAGTCTTCTCAGGTTTTTTAAGTGGGTTTAGTCCATCACGTGGGGTGCCATCTGAAGTAATAAGGGCGGTGGTGGAGGGGCTGCATCCCCAACACCCCAGCCGCCTGCCCGGCTAGCTTATGCCCCGAAATAATTACACAGACACTGTATTCTTTTAAGCACTGCTTGGCCCATTCTCTTCTAGGCTAATTCTCACATATTAATTTAGCCCATTTCTAATCATCTGTGTTGTGCCCCTAGGTGCACTTACCGGGAAGATTCTAGCCTATGTCCATCCTGGGTCGGAGCTTCTTAGGGTGCATCTGCCCAGGAGCCAGGAGCATGGCGTCTCTCTCAGGCGTCTGCTCCCGAGTGGAAAGCGGTCGAGTCTCTCAGCTCACTTCCTCTTCCTCCCAGCATTTTGTTCTGTTTACTCCTCCCACCTATCCTCTAACCAATAAAATGGGCCAGGGCAGTGCCTTTATTAGCCAATGACCTTCCTCCATCACGGCTTGGATCACATAAGTGGTTAACGTTATAAAATGCCTACTAATTTATGGTTTGCCTTTTTAAAAAAGTTTCATCCTTCTCCCCTTCTTTCAAACAAGGCTTTCATTTCTGCTGCCCTCTCAGCACATGGTCTTTCACTGGGATCATAATGCATCATTTGATTATTTCTTTAAAAATTATACACTTATTGGTCTTCTCAAAACATTTGCAGCCTTATTGCTAATTAAACATGATGGATTCGGGGTCTTGGTTTGCCATCTGGGCTATGTGTCTCAGAACATCTTTTTTTGTGATGATTCCAAGAAGTCTCCTGGAGTGGAAACAAAACAGAAAAAAAGAAGTCAGTCTGACAGAAGAGATTCATGACCAAGCTCAGGGACAGACAAAATTGCCTAGCTTCCTTTGTAGGTAAGAAGGACCAATAGAATGTGCTCCAGCCAATGGCCTGTGTGCAAAGGTGACAGGTGCCTCTCTCAGGTCTCCTGTGCAGCTCTCTTGTCTTCCACTCTCCTCACCTGGCATCCAGGGACAACAGAATCAGTGAAGGACTCTGATGCACAGAACACTGGTTAATAAGTCATGAGACTGAAAGACATGGATCCCTGAATGACTGTGGCGAAGAGCCTGTACCTGCAACTAGGATGGAATAAGTGAGAAAAATGATTCTTTCTTTCTTTGCTTGTACATTTTGAGACAGGCCTATGCAGGCCATGCCTTAAACTTGAAGTCCATGTCAGACTGAAATTTCTGATCTCCCGGCCTCAGTATCTCAAATGTAGGATTATAAACACACATTCACACACACACACACACACACACACACACACACACACACACATATATATACATACATATACATGATTAGCATAAAAAATAAATGGTTATTGCATAAGTCACTGATATCACAAGTTTGTTTGTTACACAGGCTGTGAACCTACAGTGACTAACACCATGCCTTCAATTTTAAGATTGTAATCAGTTTATAAAGAGCTATTAAAGCTATTGTCACAACTTGGCCACACCATAAAAAGTCTGAATATAAGGGTTTTCTTAGAATAAGAAATTAAGGTAGACATGGTAGTATATGCCTATTAATACTAGCACCAAGCAAGCAGAGACAAGAAGAATGCCATATGTTTGAGATTAGCCTGACCTACAGAGGGAGCTCCAGGCAAGTCTGGGGTACAAAGAAAGACTGTATCTAAAAGAAAGTATTCTACTTTTAATTTTTTTTGTTACTAGATGGGTAAAGTACAACATACACTCTGACCAAATACACATATCATCTCCTCTTCTAAAATTCCCTTGTATTCAATTCTGAAGAGTGTCAGTCTCTAGGGTTTGTTTTCTCTCTCTCTCTCTCTCTCTCTCTCTCTCTCTCTCTCTCTCTGTCTCTCTCTCTCTCTGTGTATGTGTGTGCAGACAGGGACACACACACACACACACACAGAGGCACATGCAAATACATATGCGCGGTACATGTACTTCATTGTGTACACGTGTGTGCCAAAGCCAGAGGTTAACTTATGGGTCTTCCTTCATTGCTAAACACCTTATTTTTAAAGACAAGTCTTTCATTGAACCTAGAGCTCATTGATTCAGCTCGGCTTGAGCAAATGAGCTTCAGAGACCCTCCTGCTTCCTGCTCCATCTACCCTATAGTGCTATGGTTGCAGATATGCAATACTACACCCTGCTTTTATGATGTTAATCAGCATACAAACTCACAATTTCACAGCAAGCACTTCACCAACTTAGCCAGGAACCCAGTTCCCAGAGTTGTTGTTATAGGTTTATCTGAACTGTACAAACCTAGAGACTGGGATGCAAATAGGCCTCCTGGATGATACTATGCCCATCTGAACCAACATTCATGCCAACCTTGCCTTCATTCTTCTATTAAATACTTGAATAATGGTCTGTGGAATCAAATCTTCTCCCTTTGGTGAAGTGAATTTTCCTACAAAGACAATGTGAACAAATTTCTTTGGAAAACATTCTATCACCTAGTAAGTTTGCTCCATCTCCATCACAATGGGAAAAAAAGGATCAGGAAGCAAGCTCCAACAGCCTCTCCTCAGAATTATAGAGCAATATAAATGACAGGCCTCTACTTAATAGGGCTGTGTTAAGCCCCATAAAAATTAGAAATCACAGATACAATGCACTGTCATTTCACTCAAGCCTAATTAAGCCAACTCATGTTGTGCTACCTGGTAGTTAATATGAAAAAGCTACATTTGTCAAGGGGTGGCCATGTCAGCTACAGCTGGTGAACAAATCAGGCTGTCGCTGATCACACTGGACCTTAAACAATCTAGGAACTGTGGTATCTTTTTGCTGCTATTTTCTCAAGGTAATCCTCCTGTCTCAGGTTCCTCTGTGTTGGGAATACCAGGCATAAGCCACCACACCCAGCAAAATATGTACCTTCAATGTCTCACAACACAGTAAAATTCTATTGAAGCTGTTTTGTGGAACAGAAACGCTGCTCTGGCAAATCTGCCAAGATGACCTGCAGTCTTGGAATCACTCAGCCTGTACTGCTGTAACAAAATGCCACAGACATGGTGGCTGAATTAAAGTGTAAGATCAAGGTGCCAACAGAGCAGTTTTCCCAAGGCTTATCTTCTTGGGGGACAGATGGGGACCATCATGCTCCCGCTGTGTCTTCATATGGCCTCCTCTCTGTTTATAGATACTCTTTGGGTTCTTCCTCTTTTTTAAGGGACACTAGTCCTGTTGGATTAAGGATCTACCAAAATGGCCTCATTTAACCTTAAGGCTCAGTGCTTCTCCTCACACAGCCATACTAGGGTTAGGGCTTTACTATAGTAATTTAAAGGGAGACAATTCAGTCCTTCCCAGGACTTCAACTGTCTATATTGGATAACTGTGATAAACCATTCCCTCTGAATGCTTCCCTTTCTACATCATAGGAAATTCTAAAACTTATATAATACGTTGGACTGGCTTAAGTGAACTTATTGGGTTCCACATATGTTGGTCTACTAATATGTTGGTCTAGTCCTCAAACAACCTAATGGAACTAAACATTGATACCCTTCTTGTAATGGCATGCTAGCTTCTCCTGGGAATCCATCCACAAGTGTGACCAAAGCCAAGGGAAGTGCGGTATTCTGGGCTTCTTACATAGGAATGAGCCTGGCTTCAGCTAGTAACTCCTGAAAATCCTCTTTTCAAACTTGATTTGTCTCAGATGTTTGGGGATCAACTGCCATAATCAGGGTCCCTGCATTCATCCAATGAGAGGTGATGATTTTCCCAGTGACACTGTTATCCAGTATTAGGTCAATCACCATGCTTCAGTAGAAATATCACTGAATCCTCAATATTGCCCTTGGGTCTTCATAGTCATATGTAGCTTTTGAGACCAATATTCCAGAGGCCTGAGTCATGTCAGAGGCTTGAATGCCCCAGGGAAAGAAGACAGTTTTCCCCTTGGGGTCAGATATAATTTGTTCTCATTCTGCTGATACTAATTAGTTTCAAGAATACAACAGAGCTAGCAAGGGGATTTGATGCTGGGAGAGGTCACTGTTTAAACCCAACTGGGAGTGTCTAGTGAGGATCCCTCCTAGATGGCTCTAGCTGAATATGTTCTATCCTTGATCTAAATGATACTCTGTACTCTTCTGCACTCCAGCAAGGCTTTACTCATGACTTCTCTACTTTGATACTTGTGGTAATTGGGGCGTTCTTTGTAGGGAGTACCCTGTCCTGTACATTACTCAGATTCTAACTGCTACTTGCTAGCAGGACTGCTACTCACCCCTGACCTCCCCCACAAATGTAGCAACCAAAATTTCTTCAGATACTACCAAATGTTACCCCTTATTGAGAACCTACTGTCCAAACTAAAAAGAAGGGAGGGAAGGACTAAATTAATTAAGTGACCTCATTACTAAGCAACCCCACTTCTGGTTATATAGTCAAGAGAACTAAAAACATGTCTGCTTAACAACTTACACACTAATCTTATTTCCCAATAGACCCAACTGGAAACAGCCCAAATGTCTAGCAATAGAAAAATAAATAGACAAACAGTGGTTTATCCATACACTGAAAAGTTATGCCAGGCAGTGGTGGTGCACACCTTTAATCCCAACACTTGGAAAGTAGAGGCAGGCGGACCTCTATGAGTTCGAGGCCAGCTTGGTCTACAAGAGCTAGTTCCTTTACAAACCCCAAAGCTACAAAGAAACCCTGTCTTGAAAACCCAAAAAAAATGTTATTCTGTAACTAAAAACATAGATGAATCTTGAAAATACTATACTAAGTGGAAAAGCCAATCACAGAAGGGCATACAGTATATTACCCCCTTGATATGACACATCCACACAGCTAAGATAGTAGATCAGTGATTGCCTAAGACTAGTACAAGATGTGACAGCTAAGGGATACAGGCTTTTCTTTAAAAGTAATGGGAATGTTTTGGCTTTGATGGTGATGATGGATGCAAAATTCTTTTTCTATTCTAACTACCTAATTATATATTTTAAATGGGTGAATTGCAGGTTATGCAGTTATCTCAATAAAGCTTTAAGAGGGCCAGCAAGATGACTTAGCAAATAAAAGTGCTTGCTGTGCAAGGCTGAGACCTGGATTTGATTTCTGGAACCCAAGTGAAAAAAAAAAGTCAGGATACAGCAGCATGCATCTGTAACCCCAGCATTTCTACAGCAAAATGAAAGACAGAGAGAGGATAAGCACCTGGGGATGCTTAGAGAAGACGGTAATGTAAAGTCCACAGCAGAACAGAAACAAGAGAGACTCTGCCTCAAATGAGACGACAGGAGAGAAACAACTCCCAAAAGTTGTCCTCTGGCCTTGACACATGATCTGTGGTGCACATGTACTCATACACTGCCTCACAAGCATATAATATGCACATTCACAGCCAATTCTTATTCTTATTAATAAGTATTAAATTATCATTATTATAAAAATTTCATCTGTAAAAGAAAAGGGAATCAATAGAAACAAAGACAGGATCACATGGACTTATACAAAGTCCACCTCTCCGTTCAGATGCTAAAATCTGGTGATGGGAATAAAGGACAGGTGAAGAACTCTAGTGTAAGGGACCAGTTGCTGGAAGTGGAAAAGCATGGTTATTTTCAAGTGTTAGGAATCCGGTGTTCTTTCAAAATTAAAAAAGAAAATAGTTACAAAGCTAATTGCGTACAGTTATAATATGCCACTAAGTAAACCATGATCAAGAATGAAATATGAGCAGATCAGCTAACAGGGACAGAGCATTCATAGTTGCTCTTCTGGTGGCAAGGGCCCCCCAGCTGAGCATCCTCAACATGTAAACAGTGCTTCAGCTTAACAAGCTCACTCATCTTCTGTTTTATGCGAAAACACAGATCATCATGACTACCTCTGTAACACTTGCCTTGGGAGATGTCACTTAGACTGGATTCCTTATTCCTTATTCCATAGTAGATGACAAGTTCCTTAGCTTTTTTTGTGTGTGTGGTGCTTAGGATTGAACCTAGAGACTCACACATGCAAGGTAAGCACTCTACTACAGAATCATGTTCCCCATCCTCTAAAGTTTTTTTTCTTTTGAGATAGGATCTCACTAAGTTGCCCAGGCTGATCTTGAACTCACTATGCAGCCTAGGCAGCTTTGACTTTGCCATTCTCCTGACCTAGCCTCCTGAGTACATGGGATTTCAGGCTGGAGCCACTCATCCAGGGGACTTTTAATTTTAACACTTGGTTTGAGTGGTGCTGGGCATGGAACTCAGAATCATGTGCACACATTAAGTGATGTACCACTGATATATATCTCTGGCCTTCTATTTTAAAAACCCTTTGAGCCTTCTCCAGTTTTCAGCCACAATGAATGCTCAGTAAAAACACTAACTACAGTAATATCTCCTTGCAAAACCTATGGTCACTATCATTTGCAAGGTGATGAAACCATACATACATACCCTTCAATTGTCTATCTAGTCTGGACCTTGTTTTATTATCTTTACCCTTGAAACAGAAACCAAAGATCTAATATAGCCATGCGTGGTAACATGGGCCTATAGTCTCGGCTCATGGAAGGCTGAGGCAATAGGATCACTTGAGCCCAGAAACTTGGGGGCCAGGCTAGATAATTCGGTGAGATCAGTACCCTAACCACTACCACCACCACCCACAACAACAACAAAAATCAAGCATTTATAGCTCTGAAAACCTCTTCAAGTTCTGTGACTATAAAGTATGCAAGTTAGATTGGTTCCAGCAGCGCTGAGGAAATATGCGTTCTAGCTCTGCCTTGGCTTTGAGCATAAACTACACCCTGGCCTGCAATGGCAAAATATCAACCCAGAAGGAAGCAACATCAAATCTAGCAGGCGTCATTAGTGGCAGTGAATGTCCTGTTTGATTTAAATAAAGTGTTTGAACTCCTAGCTACTTTCTGTGGCACTCTGAAAATCAGCGAATTTGAAAATGGCCAGATTTATGCCAAAGGACCTAAACTGCAGACTGAAGCAGCTGAAGTCTTCTGAGACAGCTGCCCAGACCCCTGATTGGGGTGCACCCAACAAGGATAAGGGAAACCTAAAATAATCACCCAGACTTACTTTTCCTTTCTAGAACAACTAGGGGTAAAAACTCACCCAAACTTCATCTTAGTTCCTGAAGACTTCTTAGATTACCACACTCTGTGTACAAAGCACCTCTGGTTCCTAGTCTAGTTTTATGAAAATTCTGGGCCCCAGGCCCAGGGATAGCCTGCAGACAATCAGGTCAATGGACAGGCTCAGACCCTCATCCACTAGAACAGGGAAGGCACATGGCAATGGGACGCATCAAAACCATGAGCTAGCTTGAGCTGTGCCTGCCCTGGCTGAATGCCCAAGGAGAAGATGAAAGGCCTCACAAACAAGGATCCCTTGCCAGCACTATTGTATCAGCATCTGTATTTGTTTAAAACATGTAGAGCCAAAGAGAGAGAGGGAGCGTCGTTTTCTCTTAGAACATTCAGAGCCAATTTCAGCACCCAGATCTTCACAGGAAAACCTCATGGGGCTCCAAGAGGTATAAGTGGGCATTGGGGGCAGAATTTCCTGACTGAACTAGAAATTCCAATGATAACTGACATCAGCCTATTTTCGAGGAAAGGAGAAACTGCTATACACTTGAGATGGCCTGGGCAATCATTGTAGTATTTACTCCATGCTGAAAACCCAAGTGCAGATATTCATTTCAGTGGTTTTCAAAGCGGGATCCCCAGGAGCTTGTGCATTCTCTGTATAGGAAGGGGATTCTAGTGTGTGTTCAAGTGCGAGGAAGTAGAGAGTACCTCCAAAATCCATGGGCAGTGTGATCTGTAGCCTCAGTGAGAATGAAGGAGAAACCTGTCCTGCCAATTCGATGTTCTACAGGTAAATGTGCACACTGAACGTTTGCAGTCTGTACCCCTGTTACTAGATCAGCAGGAAGAAGCCAAATGAATAAGATTCCTTAATACTTAGCCCAAGATCCTTCTACTATGACACTACTTTTTTTTAAGTCAAATTTGTGGCTTTGGTGCAGGAAATGTGTTGTACACTGTAGAATATTTAGCAGCACTGACTCTGGAAAAGTAGACTATGTTAGACCTCTGGAATCTATTTGTAGATCACACACACACACACACACACACAAATACACACACACGTACTGGTCATCCACCCACATTCTGTCCTCATGTGAGAGTTAAGAGCCACACCCAACCTGCTTGCTCTGATGAATTCCCATTCCCTCCCTTGACTCCTTCACAGTAACTCAAGAGCAACAGCCCTTCAGACATCCACTTCACAGCCAACTTTGTTTTTCCCCCCAAGGGAAAATATTTATTGTCATATTGTATTTCCCAATGATTTATCCAGTGTAAAATGTACAAACTTACTGTGTATTTTAGATTCACATTCTTTTAAAATGATGTATGGTTGATGAAGTTTTCTAGAACTATGCACCTAAGTCTATTTTCCCCAGAGTTCTTGCAGTTTGATTGCTGCTGCTTTTTGGCATACTACTAGGGTTGTGAAGAGCTTTTATGCCATGGAATTTGATAGCTTGATGATATCATTGCTGAAACTTTTGCTTTGTGTTCTTATAGGGCAGGAAATCAACAACACAAATATCAAATGGCCACGGTAATGCCTAAGGTATAGTTCCCTGGGGGCCATTCTTCAGGCTCAGAGGTGTGGCTCAAGTTCAATAGCCTCGGAAGAATGTGCAGAGAAAGGTGTCCAGTCATCTGTCCTCTCTACTCCCAGCTTGGAGGCTGGAGATAAGAGAACTGCTGTATTTCTTCCTAGGCCAAGTGACACATAGCAGAAGAAACAAGCTGCTCTTTAGCTCCTCCCTTTGTCTCAACCTTCAGACTGAACACAGGCAACAGGATAGCCTAGAAGGCTATAGTCTAGTCTAGAAGTTTCTCCCTCTTCCCTCTGCTCGAAATTCCCAAGCTTCTTGTACATTTTCTTCTCAAGACATTCAACTCAGCTTAGTGGTATCATCTCTCAAGGACTGGGCCACTCCAATGGAGTTCCTTAAAGGCAGACACATTAAAGCTGGCCATAGTACACATATTTTCTTCCCTTGTCTGGATACTCACCCACTCCGTGTCACCAGGCATTGCCGGAGCCCCAGTTTCCGGAAGATGTCCACAACAGTCTCCATGGGTGTGTGGTCTGTGACAGTGAAAGGGCTCAAGTTCAAGATACGCCTCAATTTCAGGGGATGTGGGCTGTTAGCAGGCAGCTCAGGGGGCTCCTCTGTGAAGTACATGATGGAATTGCTCACGATGCCCTCTTGCCTCTGTCTGGCATTCTCTAGAATAATGGCAAAGAAAAAAATGATAAGACACACACAAAAAATCTTGTACTTAACTACCCCACCTGCTCTTATACAGCATCTCACAAAGGGGAGTTCTGAGGGCAAAAGGCACAGTCATAACAAGTACTTCAGCCAAACATATGTGAACCTGGCATCCTCACATGCTGTGAGAGGGGGCCCCTGCTGTGACAAGAATGTTCACTGCCAATACCTTGCAAGATAGGCCCCCACCAACATGGCCTTTTGCAAATGTCCACTGTTTTTTTCCTAGACTCCAGAGCACTCCAAAAGACCAAAGGTCCTTCATCCTTGCTTTTACACCATCTCACCATGGACTGAAGTTCATGAGGACAAGAAACCTCATTTCACTGCCCAATAACCTTAGCACATTGATTTTTACAAATGAGCTTACAACTGGCCTAAATGGCATTATGAATCCTAGAGGAATGAGAAACCAATAATACTTGTCCAGGCTCACAGCCCAGAAATGCAGCTCAATCCCAAATATGACCCTGGGGACCAAAGAAACAAGCCCAGAAAAGCTACATCCCTCTGCTTCTTAATTCTCCTCTCTTTAAAATGTGCCATTTCATAGATTTCACAAAGAAAGACAGTAAAACTGTTATGGTGGCAATTAGTCTATTTCTGTCTGTAGGCAAGGCCATATGAAGCTAAAGAGAAAGTAGAGTAACCGGAATTCATTAGAAATACAGCTTAATGTAGTGCTAGAAACCCAAGCTATTTTAAGTCACACATGAAATAAATCCATCGGTCTCAAGATATTTCTCCAAGGCCATTTTCCTTCTCTTGGAATTTTAATCTTCCTTTTAGTTCATGGGAAAAGGTTAGGGAAAATGTACAGCAGGGCCTGCCTTAAAAAATGAATTCCAGTACAATTCTTAACCTTCTCAAAGACTACTATTCTCCTATATTGTTCCTTCAGAAATAAAATTCTTACTGCCTCCTCTAAGAGCATTTAGTGCAATAGAGTACACTAATGGAAAACTGGCGGCATTTGGAGTCAGGCTGAGTCTGAAAGGGGGGCTCTGTTGTAAAGAGGAAAGGAGGACCTGCTGGGCAAATGCCTGCACATTATACGGGTCAGTTTGAATCCTGTTATATCAAATGGGATGTGATTCAACCACAAATACCCAATGACACTGATGTGCATGTTTTCAACTGCAGGTCCTACATAATCCACACTACAGGCTACACACTGTGCTCTTGTTTCCTAATCCAAGGGGTTCTGTCTTAAAGCTCTCAGGCACAGAGGCCATATTCAGTACATACTTATTTGCTCATTTCCACAAACCAATATATTCTCTTAAAGCCCTACATAACATAATTTCCATCCACTTAAACAATCATATTTGAACATCAGGATTGGATCAAGCCACAAGCCTTAATCAAGAACTGATCACATGGATTTGCCAAGTCCCTCATAAAACCAACCAGCCCAGATGCTGAAATAAATAGCAAGCTCATGTTTCCTCAGAATCTACTGATACTGTTTGAGCCTTGATAATAACAGCTACACATTCAATGAAGAAACCTTGATAATAACAGCTGCACATTCAATGAAGAAACCTTGATAATAATAGCTACATATTCAATGAAGTCTTGCACACCAGCATATCATTTTTTGCCAAGTTCTAAGCATGCAGTAGGCACAAAACATTTTGTTAATGATTTATTTTTGACAGGTGGTGGTGGTTCATGCCTTTATTCCCAGCACTCAGGAGGCAGAGGCAGAGGCAGGCAGATCTCAGTGAGTTTGAGGCCAGTCTAGACTACAGGGTGAGTTCCAGGATATCCAGGGCGACACACACGCACATGTGTGTGAGAGAAGGGAGGATCTAGAGAGAAAGAGAGAGAGAGAGAGAGAGAGAGAGAGAGAGAATTTATAGAGGCCAGAAGGAGGCATTGGACCCTCTAGAACTGGAGTTACATATAGATAGATATACTGGCAGTTGCAAGCCACCTGACATGGGTGCTGAGAACTCAACTTGGATCCTTTGGAAGTTTAGCAAGTGCTCTTAAGTTGCTGAGTCATCGTTTTAGCCCCAACACAAAACGTTTCTGTCACATGCATGCATATAAGCATGAATGGATAAAATCTACTAAATGTCTTTGTCGTGAAGAATAGAGCCTATTTCATGGAGGAAGGAGGCATTAGAAAGGAATGTCCAGGGGCTATCCACCACCAGGCAAGGATTTTAACCATCAGGTAGGGTAAGATAGGAATCTGAGCTGTGCTTCTTGCTATTCTGGGATGACAATTGTTTCTCCTTTCACAATGGCTCTCCTAGGTCACTTTGAAACTTTGAAAGGTTTACATTAAGGTTTCAAACTCTAGAGAAGGGGGTGCTATACATATACCTCTGAGTCATATCTTCAATCTTCAAACATACTTTTTTTAACACACAAACGACATGAAGAAAATGCACTGAATATTAGCAATGATGGCCCTTTTGAACAGTAGTGAGAATGAAGCTACTGCATGTACTGTCTTTTTAGGATCCTAGTCTATTTGGATGCATACCTTGCTAAACCTGGATGGAGTGGGGAGGGCCTTGGACTTCCCACAGGGCAGGGCACCCTGTTCACGCTTAGGACTGGAGGGGGAGGGGCAAGGGGAAAAGGAGGAGTGGTGGAGCAGGAAGGAAGTGGGAGGAGGGGAGGAAGTGGAAATTTCGATTGGTATTATTTATAAAGTAATAAAAAAATAATCTGCTGAAAAAAAGAAATCATTAGCAAAAAAATTCCAATTTTTTTCAATAACATAAGAGCTTGAATTACCTTTACTTTTAAAATGTAATAAAAACTTCATTTTTAAATTTTTGAGAGTTCAAGCACTTAAATGTTTCTTTCAGTGTTTTTACTGTAGAAGGCTTCATCATGATATTGTACTAGAACTAGTCTGGGTGGACACAGTTCCTTTAAAAATGATGTATATTGGACTTTCCACAGGGCAGGGAACCCTGACTGCTCTTCGGACTGGAGAGGGAGGGGGAGAGGAGTGGGGGGAGGAGGAGAAGAGTGGGAGGAGGGGGAGGGAAATGGGAGGCTGGGAGGAGGCGGGAATTTCTTTTTTTTTCTTTCAATAAAAAAAGAATCAAAAAAATGATGTATATTTCATGAGCACCTACTAAAGCTGCTCGACTTCATATTCCACTTTCCAGCAGCAAGAGTGTCAGATGCAAAGAGGGTAATAAATACAGTGTTGGGGAAATGAATTTCACATAATGGGACTGATAAAGAAAAATTTAAAAATTAGAAATAAGCAAATACCCACAAAGTCTATGAGTGGCTTCAAAGCAATGATTCTTAACTGGATTCAGATTTGTCCCCAGTCTTAAGAGAATTCGGTAATGTCTGGAGGCCCTTTGGGCTGTTACAAAATGGAAAGGGGGGAGTGCCACTGGATTTTAGTGGAGAGAAAGCAAGGATGCTATTCAAAACCCTACAGTGCGTCGGACAGTCCCAACCACATCCAAATGTCAGTGGTATTAAGGTTAAAAGCCTTTACTTTAGAGTAATTGCTTCCAGTGAGGCAAAGCTCTATCATTCACTTGGTTAAGAATGCTTCCATAAAACAAACACAATTAACAAGGAAGATTAAAATGGAAAATTGGAAGCAACCACTCTTGTGCTAAGTAGCAGAATGACATGATTTAAAGACTACATAGAAAGAAAAGCAGATTATTCTATTAGATACTATCCACCGAGGCGTGGAAAAATCTTACAGACGCTGTGTATTTTAACACATAGCAGAAAGTAATTAACACCACTATTCCACATGACCCATTCCAATAATTAACAGTGCTTCCAGACAGAAACCTCTACACTTAAGCGTCTGTCTGGCATATCTGATACCTATCTTCTCATTTGGTCCTGAAGGCGGATCCCTTTATGCAAGTAAGCATCTTCCATATGCTGGAGAATCATTATTAAGTCATCCACCAGATGAAAAACTTGCGAGTTCCCTAAACTCTTCCCCATAACTCTAACTTTCCATTCCTTTAATCATCTCTGTGGCTTCCCACTGAGTCCTCTTGGAACCTGTACTTTCTTTTTTTTTTTTTTTTGAACCTGTACTTTCTTAATTGCAGAAGCCAGGACTTGAAAACTCTGAGCCCTGCTGAGAACAGAAGGATCTTCATATTTGCAAAGAGTAATGAGAGGTAAAATCCACTTGCCAGGAGTTTGAACAAGGGTCACACACAGGGCCCCACTGGCTAAAAAACTCTGATGGCCAAGAGTTGGTGCTAACCATCATTCTCTAATATAAAGGCAATGGCTGGGTTCTGGCATTCCAGAGAAAGATTATGAACGACAAAACATAATAACGCATATGTGTGAAAACACTATTAGGAGAGCCATTACTTTGTTTGCTAATGTAAAAAAAAAGATTTGAAGTTTTAGAAGAAAAGAACAGATTGGAAGAAAATCCTTATTTTGCTTATTTCTCATTCTTTACTCATGATAACTTTCTTGAAAGTTCCTTGCAAAAGCTCTGCTTCTAATCCCCTTAAAAGTAAACTTGGCATGGGAGAGTTTTTAGCAGAATGTTTAATGTCCTATCCTGATAGTCATACAAGGGCATATAATTCCTCAAATACAGGCCTTGAATCTCACCACCAGAATGTGGTGATCCCTCAGCTTCCATGGCTTAGGAAAACAGCTTGTCTGATTCCCTGGAGCAAAATACCCCTCGCCTTTCAGCAAGTCGTGGAAATAACAGCTTCTGCACTATGATGGGCCTAATCAAAAGCACAGAAATATGATTTGCACTGCATGGTGTCTCTTCAGATATTCCAAACATAGCTTCTGAGGGGGTGCATGCTTGCAGAGCTTAAATTTCCTCCCCCGCCAGTTGATGCCAATTATCGCTTCCCACTTGATTACAGTAATGGATTTAACCAAAATAAGTAAGATGTCTCTTAGCAGGTGTGCCTGTAGCAACACAATTGGTAATGGATTATGTGACATTTATTATTTCAGGTTCTAAACTCAATCTTTGCATCAAAGATTTTTGGGGGGTTGAATGCATTTTAAAGGCAACTGATTATATTATTTTAAAACAAATCCAACCCTTCTTAAACAACTTTTTAACGATCTTATTATTTGTTGGGCAATATTCACCCCTCAAGGCACTTCCCTGTTCCAAGGCAGGACCTATATAAAGAGAAACATCTCTGAGCACTCATACAGGAATTTGCCATTGTTCCTAAAATGTAAACTCAAACTTTGTTTTCTGTGTGAGTTAACCATTAAAGTTAGAAGGCAGCAAGCACACTACACAAACATTTGGATAGCTTTAGTGGAAGATATCTTAAATATATTTTAAGCTATTTAGTACGGGGAAAGGGTTTTAAAAATAGAAAAGGAAGTGCCTGGGAAATAGGAACAAAGAGCCAGACCAAAGAGCAGTCTGGTGAAGATGTGTTCACAGTGAGGTAATCAGCAGTCAGGCAGGAGAAAGAAGTTCGCATTGTTACACTGCAGGGACATTCAGAAAGATGTGGTGGAAAGTAACACTGTCCTATGGGCAGGAAAATTGTGCCAGAGGTTTGTCCCCATGTGATATAGGGGTATTTCACAGGTCATGGAGCAAGATTGCTGATGGGCAGGTCTTGATGTTTGTCGTGTATGAGAAGATGGACTACACTGGTCTTTGCAACCGCTTACATCCTGAGGTCCACAGAACTTCAGTCCTCTGAGGCACATTATTTCTCCTTGCCTAGAGCTCTCTCTATAACCCTTACCCAGGTCTATCTCTTGCTTTCCTTCCAGTGTAGCCATCCCTGGCGAAAAGGATCCATAGATTATCTTCCTTGAACAGCCTGTCTTTGGAATATTCCACCCGTATATCATTCCTTTCTCTGTTACCAAAGGAAAGAGACTGACCCTCGGGGTGATTGACTTCAATTCAAACACTAGGAAAACCTAATCACATCAAACTAATTTCTAGTGATGCTGCTTGCTAACCCACATAGGCCCCAAGTGGTTGGATTGGAAATAATGGCAGAGACTGAAGCAAAGACTTGTGGGGTACCAGAGAGAACTCCCACACTTAATTGGGGGTGACTATGCTACCCAAAAGTCCATTTTTGACATAAGCTATGTTGTTTAACTTTGTTCTCAAGCATCCCTTCCTTTCAGCTTTAGTCAAAAATTCGTTTAAAAACAGCAGCAGCAATATAACTCCCAGCAGGAATAGACTTCCAGTGGCTGCCTGTACCCACAGCAACTACTTTCTAACCAGGGATATCTACCCCAGGGCTTGAGTTTAAACCTTTAAACCTTGGCTCTTCACAATGTGAGTTGGTGGCAGAAACACTGACATGCCTGGGAAGCTCAGAAGGACTACAGATTCTCAGCCTCCTGCGGGCCATATTAGTTCATTTAGAATTTATATCTTCTTTTCTTTTTTGGTGTTTTGAGACAGGGTTTCTCTGTGTTGTCCTGGCTGTCCTGGAATTGACTCTGTAGATGAGGCTGGCCTCAAACTCATAAAGATCTGCCTGTCTCTTCCTCCACAGTGCTGCAATTAAAGGTATGTGGCACCATCACCCAGCTCAGAATTTGTATCTTTTTTTTATTGAAACAATTTCCGTCTCCTCCCCGTCTCCCATTTCCTTCCCCCTCCTCTCACTCCTCTTCCCCCCCCACTCCATTCCCCCTCCCTCTCCAATCTGAAGAGCAGTCCGGATTCCCTGCCCTGTGGGAAGTCCAAGGTCCTCCCGCCTCCAGCATCCAAACAGGCCAGTTCATGCAGTAGGATCAAAACCCAGTGCCATTGTCCTTGGCTTCTCAATCAAAGCTTGGAAGACTCTGGCTTTTTAAAAAAAAATTTTCATTAAATGTGTTTGTACAACCACATAATCACAATGAGTGCACTGTATTTACATCACTTCTACCCCTTCTTCTCCCCTTCCAGCTCCTCCTATGTTTCTCTGCCATATCCTCCTCTAAGTTTCATGTTCCCTTCTTGTATAGATATTACATATATGCATATACATATGTATGCACACACAGCCCATTGACTCCAATTAGTGTTGCCCATTCGTGCACAGGTTTAGGACTGACAACTTAGGATTGAGTGACATTTGGGGGCTTGTCAAGGAAGCCCCTGACTTAGTGAGCTCCCTGAGACCCATATGCAGATTCGAGGGCCACAAAAGCTACCATTAGGCTCTTAGGGAAAGGTGAGAGTCTCCCTGTCCATACTCACTTATAGCCAAGATCAGCTCTCGCCTCTGGGCAAAGCCAATGAGACGCTCTGAGTCTCTGGAGACCACCACAGGAAAGCCGTTGTAGTCTGTCTCTTTGATGAGTGTCTCCACGTCCTCCACAGTCATGCTGTCCTGGGTGAGTACCGACAATGGTGGTTCTCCCCTCCGGGGCCGCATCACATCTGTGGCCAGGGTACGGTGGGTGAACTCATCCTTCACATCGAGAAATGGGTACCCATTCAGATGGATGTGAGCTTCATAAATCCCTTCTTTCCCAAAGGCATCAGCCACCCACTTGCTGGTGACAAGCTGCCATCAGGGGCACAATATACTCCAGGCCTCCAGTCAGTTCAAACATGATGACTACCAGTGACACCGTCATCCTAGTCACCCCACCTAAAACAGAAAACAGTGAGATGTGACAGCTCAGCCACAGACCCCATGAGAATGTGATTCGTGCAAACAGACAAGCTCGCAGAACAGAATTTCACCCCAGGCAAGCTCTCTAATGAGAACTTTCTGTCCATCTCATACTTGTTCCATGAAGTCAGTCCCACATGATGCCGGGGCTCAGGGAATGTTAAACCCAGCTTTGCATCAGGGACCTGTATTGCTCCACAGGGAGCTCTACTCCCAGGAACATGGGTGCCTATTCTCCCAGTTAATGTGCCTGACCCTTTGATGAGAGGGTCCTACCAGGCTAGCCAGGCTCCTGACAGTGCAAGCAACTCAGAAGCCAAGAAGCTGGAGAGATTATTATAATATTGAGTTGGACAGGGATCAGGCTTTAAATCCCTAGGTATTGAAAGGCAATTCCCACCAAATCCTACTCCAATAAACTTAAACCAGGATCTCTTAACCTCTGTACATGAGATAATTGGGGCTGGGCTATTCTATGTTATCAAGAAGGTGCTATGCTTGAAAGCTAAGCAATCGCTGTGCCTGCTACCCACTACACACAAGTGGCACTTATAGTTATGAAAAGGAAAAGTGTCTCCAAATATTACCAGAGGCAGAATCACTGCTTGCTTAGAAGCCATATTCTAGATGGGACAGCTATAAGACAGTAGAGATTTCATCACCATGGGCTCTGGATGGCTGGACAGAGGAGAATCCTTCTGCTAACACTTGAAGGCGTGTGTGTGTGTGTGTGTGTGTGTGTGTGTGTGTGTATCTGTATGTCTGTGTGTCTGTGTGTGTTGCACAAGACATGAGCTACTAAGATGTAGGAATTTGCTTGTTATCAGAGGATAGCCTAACCTTATCCCTAGTGAAGCCATCTCTTCTTTCTTGTCTGACTTCTAAGGGAGATCAGCACCCTGCCCTCTTCCTTCCCCACCTATGGCTGTACCTAGACAGGCTGCAGCTCCCACCATCGCATAAAGTCCTGGTGTGACACAGTCTGCTCCAGGCCTGCACCAATTCCTGAAGATGATCCAGTCATGGTGATGGTAAGCCAGCTGCTCTACACCGATTCCCACCATCCGGCCTGCCATGGCTCCTACAGCCATGCTGGGGATGAAGAGGCCTGAAGGAATCTCAAAGGGGCACAAAGAGAAAAGGTAGCCTGAGAAAAGGAGGCCCACTTCTACTGCCCAGTCCCAAGGAGAGTGAGAGTCCCCCACCCCATTTGCATGTGGCTTGGGTCTTCAAAGGAGACACAGCTCTTCAAAACAAGTAAGCCGGGAAAAGGTGAGACAAATGATTCGACCTGCTCAGTTGCTTAGTTGTTGAACTCCACTGCAGCTCAAAAAGAACACAGTTTGACACTTTCATTTCCTCTCCTTCAAAAGCCAGCCCCTCTGCCTGCTGTGCATCAAAGAATGATAAGCTTCACTGCAGATAACATTCCAAGCCAGCATCTGTCACTTGAGCCTCTCACAACTTTCTCACTCCCCGAACTGTGTCATTCACACTGGTTTTGAAAATTAAATGTCAAGCCACAGCATGAGAATAGATGAGAAAGGCCTTCAACTGTTCCCAGGTAAAATAAAGAAACTGAGTGCATTGTGTCACCATAGCAGTTCTGGATCCTTCAAAAGCTTTTCAAAGACTTAGTACTCTCTTCAAAGGGTGCTGGCTGGACACTTATCAGGGAGAGAGGATAAAAATCTCCCCTTCCTGACTAGACACAAATTTCAGAATATTTTTCAGCCATCTTAGGACAACAAGGAAGCAGACTGTGTGGCCTAATAGTAGTTGGTAGCGGTGAGTTTTCTACTTCTATGAATGAAAATATCTCTTAGCTTAGTTGGTTTATAGATGGGCTACAGAAGCTCTGACTCCCCGTGTTCAGTGAGAACCCACAAGCTTGGAGATCTCCCAGTGGCAGCTCCTCTCACCATCCCAGTAGTCATCAATCTGAAAATGGAGGCAGATCTTTAACCTCACCAAAGTGAAGGGGAGGAAGCAGCCTCTTGTGCAATTTCTAGAGTTTGGAATGATCTTAAAGAAACCGTCTCTTTTGGATTTCCCTTACTCCACAATCGTTGACTCCCTCTTAACTTCAATATAGGCCTTTCTTACTAAGCATAAAGGACTGATAGCATCTTCCTTGGACACAAAGACAAACTCCTTTGGTAGAAATGGAAGATTAAGAATGAGCCATCTACTTAATGAGTTCTACACATCCTGTGCCCTGTGAAATCATCATTTCTGAGAAGTTGCAAAAAGAAAACATTTGTGAATACCACACAATAATAATGGCTGCACATACTCATGGTTTGTGAAAATTCACTAAGCTTTTACTAACTCTGATGAATGGTATATTCTGATAAGTTTTTAAATAGAAATAATGGTACTATTCACAACAGCTAAGAGGCAAACCAATCCAAATGTCCATTAAAAGATGAATGGATAAAGAAAATGTGGAATATACATAGAATGAAATACTACAATAGTGAAATACTCCAATAAGAGGAGCAAAGTATTGGAAAATGGTACAACATTGGATGAACCTTGAAACCATGATGCTGAGGGGAAGGATGCCAGACACAAAAGGGCACTCATTCCATTCCATATATATATAAAATGTACAGACTAGGTAAGTCTACAGTCAGAAAACACAGAATGGCTGCAAGGGCTAGAGGAGGGGAGGATGGAGAGTAACTATCAATATGGCATCTTTGGTTGAATAATAAAGTTCTGAATCTAAATAGACAATGGTTATGCTGTATTATGGATGTACATAATGACAATGAACTCTATACTTTAAAATGATCAACTTGGCCAGGCATGGCATTAACATCTGCAATCCCAGAATTCAGGAGGCAGAGGCAACAAGTCCAGAGACAGTCTGGTCTAAACAGTGAGACACCACCTCAAAGAGAAAAAGAAAGCATTAATGTATCAGTGCCCTTGGAGGTATATACAGTTGGGCAGGGTTAAAACAGTCCTTCAAACCAGAATGGAAGAACCTGTTTTCTCTCCAAATTAGAAGCATGTGCTATTATGCACAGCTTTCAACGACTTCAAGAAAAGAGGCATACAAACAGCCCATGTCATGGGCCTAGTTAATCCAGACAGGGGAGCAATTACTTTGTGCTGTCATGATGATGATGCAGCAGGTAAACTGCTCAGTACAGATTCTCTAAATGCTGGCTTTGGGTGTGTCTCTCCAGAGCCCTGTACCTTTCAAGGGCTCTGTACCTCTCAGACCTAATGCATGATACAGACAGTTTTCAAGGGATGTTTACTGACTGAAATGGACGCCAAATTGGGCTTTGTTTGTCCACTGTCTGCCACTACCCACTCAGCAGGTAAACCAAGGCAATGAGGTGACTTGGTATCCAGCCCTGTTTCCAATAAATATCTTATAAATTAGGCTAGACCAATCCACCTACAGCTTCTTCAACTAGAAAATGTAAATAGCTAGATGTGGTACCATATGTCTCTAATATCAGCACTTGGGAGGCAATAAGATCTCTGTGAGTTCAAGGCTGGTCTGGTCTATTTAGCAAGTTCTAGGCCAGCCAGAGTTACATGGTGAGACCCAGTATAAAAAAAAACAGAAAAAGAAAATGGGAATAAAATATCTACTTCACATGCTTGCTGTTTTGAGAACTGTTTCCTTTTGATTAAAAGAAGATTAAGCACATGAGAACATTTAAAAATGCTCCTCTTCTTCCAATCATAATTTTATTTTGGATAACAATGTGCTGTACCCAGAAAAGCACGTCCTCTTCCCTCTTCTTCACTTACCTTCATGCCAAATGTAAATATAGTAATGACTATTTTGAAGATCAGTGCCAAGGCCAGCTGCCACATGGCTGTGTACACCCCAACTCCAGCTGGCCGGTCTGGAATGTCATCTACAGGCCGAGTCATGTTAGGGTCATTGATGTAGTCACAGAGCTGGGAGGATTCAAGAGCCCCACAGTCGTTAAACAGCTCAGAAATGAGCTCACTGGTGCTCTGACGAGTGTATGGATTGGGATAGGCGATGATGGCAGTGATGGCTGTCACCACAATGACCTCCAACACTGGGTACTTCCCCAGTCTGGTAGTTTTACGCCTCCTGCACCAGGCAATGTTGCAGCGTGTGAAGAGGGTTCCCCACAAACCCCCAAAGACTCCAAGCAGGATGAAAGGGAAGAGTTCGGCCATATACCAGGGTGTATGATACTCCACATAAAAGAGAACCAGGCGACTATTTCCAAAGGGGTTGATGGAGCGCAGTGTGAAAGCCGCTACCAGTGCTGCGAAAAATGACCTCCACAAGGTTTTCAAGGGGAAGTAGTAACTGACCTAAAATGAACAAATAGAAAATCAGAGAGTGACCAGAGAAAGGGCTGCCCAGACCCTTTCTCTTGGGTGAGCAGCTAACCGTTGGCACTTGGCATAAAAGACACGGACTAAAACCAAAAGTATATTCTACTCATTTTACCAGTTTATGTTTTGTTGTGACCAAAAAGCATGAGCAAAGACATTTAAGGGAATTAAAGTCTACACACAGAATGGCAAGCTGAGTTCTGGATACATTTTGGTGTTACAGTTTTTATCTGGCAGTCATAAGACCTGGGTTCAATCCTTAGCACTACAAAAATTAATAAATATCAAAAGTGGTATAGCTAGCCGGGCGGTGGTGGCGCACACCTTTAATCCCAGCACTTGGGAGGCAGAGGCAGGCGGATCTTTGTGAGTTCGAGACCAGCCTGGTCTACAAGAGCTAGTTCCAGGACAGGCTCCAAAACCACAGAGAAACCCTGTCTCGAAAAACAAAACAAAACAAAAAAAGTGGTATAGCTTTAATAAAAATGGGTTTGAGCTATGTTTTTAAGAGAAATAAAAGACTTAGGGTATAATGTGTTTAATATGCTCAAGTTTAATATGCTCAAGACCCTGAGTTTTGTTCCCAACACCACAAAATGATAAAAATAAATATATGTACTCATAATACTGTTCATGTCACTGAAATCTCCCCAAATTCAATAAGTCTTGTTGTCTGAATAACAAAATAGATTAAAGGCTGGAAAATTCTGGCTTATAAGTCAACTCCTTGCCCAGAAAATATACTTCTATGGCAGCAGAGTTTTTATATTTATGAATGGTTAGGGGGACAAAAGTAACTACTTATAAACTGAAATATTCATTTAAAAGCAACATAAGAACTAAATAATGGTGAAATTTCAAAGCTTATAAGGTTTTCAGCCACATAGCCATGCCTACTCATGGATATTGCTGCAAAGACATAGTCAATTGGCTGTGGCAAAAAAAGGTGTGTGGCTCAAGAAACCTACATAGTTAACTATCTTGACCTTTTCAGAGAAATGTTTGCTACCCCCTGGAATGATTCATTAGGTTCCAAAACCCAGTTGGGAGTTAGCTTGTCTATATTCCCACATCAGAAATCGCTCTAAAACTTTTATGTTGGCAAGTTTGAAAGCAGTATGTGAGAACACATTTAACAGCAGAAATTGTGTTCATTAATCAACTGCATGAAGCTTATTCAATACTTTGGTGCTTTGTCAGTCACTCACATTGTTGGTCACTCCAAACCACAAAAACTCATTCTACCGCCCGTTACCTCCTCTAGACTGAAGAGCACACCTCCTATGGGAGCACCAAATGCCACAGAGACACCAGCAGCAGCTGCAGCTGAAAGCACCTGCAAAGTGAAAGTCAAAGATGGGCTCTGGGGACTTTAGTGCATGTGGGATAAGGTAGGGACTCCAAGAAGTCCCCTTCCAGTGGAGGTGGGCAGGAGCTGACTTACCTCACGCCTCTTGCCCTCATTCTTGCTATATTTGGAGAAAAGGCTGCTGAAGAAGTTGCCACAGCAACAAGCCACATGCACCAGTGGCCCCTCTTTCCCCAGGCTCAGGCCAGAGGACACAACCAGCACCAAGGTAACAGTCTTGATTAGCAGTGTCCATTTCCCCAAGTAGCCTCTGATGATAAATCCACTCAAAATGGTCTTTATCTGGAACAGAAGACAGATAGTGAGAGGAATGAACTACAGTGGTCCATGGCTGAGAAAGAAGATGCAATGACTCTGAACAAGACTCACTAAGCTAGAGGAATGGAAGGAACTGGTTCAGTTCTTTTGATTAGAATTTTGTACCAGCAGAAGTTTGTATCTTATTACAGTAGCCCTCTTACCCATGGAGATACATTTCAAGATCCCCAGTGGATACCTGAAACCCAGACTATGTCAAACTGTATTATACCATATTAAAGTTGAATTCATAAATTAAACCCAATAAGAGATTAACACCAAGACGGGTAGTGGTGGTGCACACCTTTAAATCTCAGCACTTGGGAGGCAGAGGCAAGTGGATCTCTGTGAGTTTGAGGCCAGTCTGGTCTACAAAGTAAGTTCTGGCACAGCCAGAGTTGTTACACAGAGAAACCCTGTCTCAGCAAACAAAAAAAGAAAAAAAGGAGAGAGATTAATACCAATAATTAACAAATTAGAACAATTACAAAATCAAAGTATGTCTACCATTTGTTTCCTTTTTATCTACCTAACATTAATGCTTTTTTTCAATTTAATTAGCACTTAAATAAAATTTTGCAATTAGCATGTATATTGGAAGTACCACAGATTGCTATGTGACCCTGGCTGGACAGGAACTCACTACATGAACCAGGCTAGCCTTGAGTTCAAAGATTCATTGCCTCTGCTTCTCTAGTGCTGGGATTAAAGTTGTGTACCACCATGCTTAGTCATAGATTGCTTTTTTAAACAGATAAATTTAGCATCCAAAATAATGGACTTCACTATGTTGTTTCCATATGTATCAGTCATATACTTTGTTCCTGCTGTCTCATATTGAAAAGGACTTTGAGTACAGGGAGAACTATCTTACTCCTTTACAGACTTGCTCCATTTTGTCAATGCAAACAATGGCTTTTCCCCCACAAGTACATTGCAGTCTTTGCTTAGAATTTAATTGGATGCCAGGATCTATGATGGACTTTGTATAATGAAGTCTACCCCTCAAGTGGTTCAATACTTTCTTACTTCCAACCTCTGCCACAATTGGATAAAAATGAGTGATTGTTTGCCATTGGGCTGGTAACTTTCAAGTTCCTGATTAGATTCATGAGACACTAAGCCAGTTAATCAAATTCCTAGCCATTTTCCCCAGTTGTATGCTATGTTATGGGATAATGTTTTCCCATTTCAGTGTCAGTTACATACAGAAAAATATCTTCTTGTGGACATTACTCAGTCAAGTAAAACAACTTCTCAAGCAGTGAACACAATGCTTTTCAACCTCATCAGAATCACTTGATGAACTAGAAAATGTCAAAGAGTCGCTCTCCCTACAGAGATGGCAGCAAGATCTAACTCTCCCCCACAGAGATCTAATGTAATTGCCCAGAGATGCAGCCAAGGCAAAGAGGAATTTTACAGTCATGTGATTTCAAAATGTTCTACTCCCGAAACAAGTAACAGAAATTTCCCTAGCTTCTCAATATTTAAGGTTCATCACTGAAACACTATTTTTTCCAATGCTCACTTGCATTGTTTATCATGTCATCTTTATTGGTTTGAGGAGATTATAAGTAGGCTTGAAAGGAGTGTGCACAGGAGTCTATCTTAGTATTATGAGAGACCTCTTGTCTTTTAGTGGGATAGGGTTAAGACAGACTCTCACTATACAGGTCAAACTGACCTGATTCTCAAGCCTCCACCTCCCAAGTGCTGCGATTAGAGATGTGCACCACAGAGTCACTCAGAAAATCAGCTTTCAATTTCAGAAGGAGGAAAAGAGGATGAGGAGAACAGAGAGTGGGAGATAGGGGAGGGAAGGAGAGTGAGAGATCCCAAAATTCTCCGTGAGCTCATTCCTGCAGAATATATAAGAGGACTCTTAGCTGTAGTCAGACAGTACTTTTTTTTTTTTTTTGGTTTTTTCGAGACAGGGTTTCTCTGTGGTTTTGGAGCCTGTCCTGGAACTAGCTCTTGTAGACCAGGCTGGTCTCAAACTCACTGAGATCCGCCTGCCTCTGCCTCCCGAGTGCTGGGATTAAAGGCGTGCGCCACCACCGCCCGGCCAGACAGTACTTCTTGAACTAGCCTTTAACTACTCAGATAAACTAGTTGTGGTCAAACTCGTATTTAACTAGTGACAGTTACGTTAATTGAGCCTGTGCTTTGGGGATATGGGAACTCTGTATGGAAGAGATATCTGATTATGCCTGCCACAATCTAGTCCTATTTATTGCCACAAATAAAAATATCTATAATTTTTGTCAGTCGGTTTATAAGGATTTGTACCCCAGGATACATTTTAAAAGCATAATACCACTTAGAAAATCACAAACATCTAAATTACCTGAGGCTCTGCCAGCAATGGCATGTGGTGAATTCGCCAATGTAATAGGTATTTTGTAATTCTCTAAAATAATTTTATAAAATTGTTATTATCAAATTAAGAACTAAAGAAGGCAGATGCATTCCCAGGAGATGCCCAACTCTAATTACTTTAATTTGAATTGATAGAAACTGAAGCATGCAGGGCTTTAGTGAGATGTATTGCGGAGACTCTTATTGTGGTGTTACCATTATGATCAAAGCTCTTTCTGATAGATAAATGTTTGTATGAATGTATGTATTTTGTAAAGAACAGAAATCAGTGAAGAATAAATTCTGAGGATGCAATTTCTTGTCCAGGTGGTAGTTAACACTTGTGGCTTTTCTAAATTGAGAGTTCCCAGAGTACGTATGTTTTCTCCAAACTCTTAAGCCACAAGTGTTCACTTTTATTTTCTTTGTGTGTATGTGTGGTATGTGGGTGCATGGACATGGGTCCATGCACCTATGTATGCACATATAGAAAATAAAGGAGGATGTCAGATGTCTTTTCTATCACTGTCTACTTTTTCCTTGAGGCCGTGTGTCTCACTAAGCGTGATGCTTACTATTTCTGCTAGGCTGATTAGTCAATGAGTTCCCAGGACCTGCCCATCTCTGTTCCACCATGTTGATGCTATAGGGATGTACAGCCATGCTCAACTTACTTAAGTGCTGAATATTCAAATTCAAGCCTTCAAGTTTGTGCAGCAGGCACTCTTACCCACTGAGCTGTCCCCTCAGCTCAAGTGTTCATTTTCAAATGTGCTTTACAGAAATTATACAGTGCATTTATTACACAAAAACTCTCAAGCATTTAAGATGTTTATAGTGGGTACAGTGACACACATCTGTAATCCACAGCAGGACTCAGGAAGTACAGATTAAAAATTGATAAAAGTTCCTGTTATGAGTATAAAGTGTCCATCTCGATCTCTTCTGATTGATTTTAGTTTGAAGTCAGTTTTGTTAGAAATTAATATGGCCACACCTGCTTTTTTCTTAGGACCATTTGCTTGAAAGACCTTTTCCCAACCCTTTACTCTGAGTAGATGCCTGTCTTTGTGGTTGAGATGTGTTTCTTGCAAACAGCAGAATGTTGGATCCTGTTTTCGTATCCAATCTCTTAGCCTGTGCCTTTTTATAGGTGAGTTGAGACCATTAATATTAAGTGATATTAATGACCAGTGGTTGTTCATGCCGGATATTCTTGTTGATTTTGGAAGTAGAATTTGTGTGTCTCCCTTCTTTGAGTTGTGCTAGTTGTGCTAGGGTCGCTAGATGCCTGAGTTATTGTAGGCAGCGTTGGCAATGTTGGATTCCTTGGGTTGCGGTTTTCCTTCTATTACTTTCTGTAGGGCTGGATTCGTGGCTACGTATTGCTTAAATTTGTTCTTATCCTGGAATGTCTTGGTTTCTCCATTTATAGTGAACGAAAGCTTGGCTGGGTATAGTAGTCTGGGCTTGCATCCATGGTCTCTTAGCTTCTGCAGTACTTCTATCCAGGACCTTCTGGCTTTCATTGTTTCCATAGAGAAACCAAGTGTAAGTCTGATCGGTTTACCTTTATAAGTTACTTGGCCTTTTTCCTTTGCAGCTCTTAGTATTCTTTCTTTAACCTGTATATTTTGTGTTTTGGTTATTATATGGCGAGGGGATGTTTTCCTTTGATCCAGTCTGTTTGGTGTTCTGTATGCTTCTTGAATATTCAAAGGAATATCTTTCTTTAAGTTGGGAAAGTTTTCTTCCATAATTTTGTTCAGAATATTTTCTGGGCCTTTGAGCTGTGACTCTTCTCCTTCTTCTATTCCTATTATTCTTATATTTGGTCTTTTTATTGTGTCCCATAATTCTTGAATGTTTTGTGATGAGAATTTGTTGGCTTTGCAGTTTTCTTTGATCAGAGCGTTTATTTTCTCTATGGTGTCCTCAGAATCTGAGATTCTTTCTTCTATTTCTTGTATTCTATTGATTATGCTTGTTTCTGTAGGCTGTGCTCGTTGACCTAGATTTTTTTTCCAAAGGAATTTTTATTTTAAATAATCAAAATATTGTGGAAGAAAAATCTCAGAGGGATGAGCAATTTTGAAAACCTACTTTGGACTAGTTTGTAGCTCAAAAGCAGAGTACTTGCCAGGCATGTGCAAGGCCTTCAGTCTCATCCTCTGCATTATAAAATGGTGTGAATATGTACCCCTGTGCATTGTTTTCAAAGTCTGCTTTTGTGTGACCTGCCATACAATATATTCCAGCAGACTGCATGACTCCAGGAAGACAAAGTACTCTTTCTTAAGCAGCTCAGCCCAATCTTTGCTAACGTAAAATAGCATGGTTCCAATCCCTACTTTAAGTCAATTTCCACTGTGATCTGGCTTGTCTCAGAGAAAGTTCTTCTCATACATAAAAATGCAGGTTTACATAGACTTTTCACCTTGTCCATCTTCTCCAAGAATCATGGTTCGTTCTGTCTTCCCAGGTAAAGGAGTTCCAGTTCTACTACCTTGTTTCTGCTGGCTCCTACTAGCCAACCTCAACTGTGAAATCTCCATTGGTTCATAAAACTTTCAGATTATCATGAGTGTTTTTTCAACAACTAAAAAAAAATAAACAAAAAAATAAAGAAAAGAAAAAAAATAAAACACTGACTTTCCTAATTTAAAAAAAAAAGAGAGACCCATCCTCAAGGGATCTGTTCACTTTTCACTTGCCACACTTGATATCGTTGTTATATTATCCATGTCACATGTCACTTTATCACATAAGAAACTTCAATGTGCAACTTCACCAATGATGATATCTACTTTGGGGTCAGTAACATCTCTCAGCAGGTGAAGGCACTTGGCAATGTGCTTAATGATCTTAGTTCAATACCCACATGAAGGTAGGAGAGAAATGACTCCGGAAAGTTGTCCTCTGACCTCCATACAAGCATTGTGGCATGTGCAGATACCCCTTCATCTGTGTACATCACATGCATACACACGATGTAATAATAAATAAAAATTTCATTTAAAGAGTGTCCGTACTGGGCCGGGCGGTGGTGGCGCACGCCTTTAATAATCCCAGCACTTGGGAGGCAGAGGCAGGCAGATCTCTGTGAGTTTGAGACCAGCCTGGTCTACAAGAGCTAGTTCCAGGACAGGCTCCAAAACCACAGAGAAACCCTGTCTCGAAAAACCAAAAAAAAAAAAAAAAAAGAGTGTCCACACTGGAGAAGAAACATTCGAGCAGCTACTCAAAGACAAAGGTCACATCTGCCTACAAGATCACCAGTACAACCATTCATCTCTGGTTTTCGGAAAGGGGATAAGGACTGATCCAGCATGCATTTTATTTCTCTTTGAGCATCCCTAATGACCATCTTCCTCTTTGGGGAAAAGCTTGAGCAAAAACATGCCTACTAATGAACAGTAAGATCATAAATTGGGATAGTAAAAATTATCTATCCTTGTTGTCCAGGGTGCCTTGGTTCTGGGTGTTAAATAAAACAGTCAGTTCTATCAGGAGCAGAAGGAGAAAGAGCACGAGCAAGGAACTCAGGACCATGAGGGGTGCACCCACACACTGAGACAATGGGGATGTTCTACTGGGAACTCACCAAGACCAGCTGGCCTGGGTCTGGAAAAGCCTGGGATAAAACCGGACTCTCTGAACATAACGGACAATGAGGACTACTGAGAACTCAAGAACAATGGCAATGGGTTTCTGATCCTACTGCACGTACTGGCTTTGTGGGAGCCTAGGCAGTTTGGATGCTCAACTTACTAGACCTGGATGGAGGTGGGGGGTTCCTTGGACTTCCCACAGGACAGGGAACCCTGATTGCTTTTCGGGCTGAGGGGGGGGGACTTAATTAGGGGAGGGAAATGGGAGGCGGTGGCTGGGAAGAGACAGAAATCTTTAATAAATAAATAAATTAAAAATAAATAAATAAATAAATGTTGGCTTAAAAAAAAGAAGTAAAATAAACAAAGCTTTAAAAATTAAAACAAAAAAAAACAGTCAGTTCTGAGGCAATACTTGCTTTGGGAATACAAACTGCCACCCATACTATTCATTCATCAGAGAATTTACATATAATGCAAATTTTGTGACTGCGTATTGATAATTTCCCTAGGAGAACTCCAGGGTGAATGCAGAAAAGTGTCTCTGGTTGAACTGAGCTGTGTAGGAAAGCACAAAATATGCTTTTCAATATGTCTCAAATATCTACCATCTCACACCTGTGCTAGGGTGCCATGGCTGTCATACCTGCTATGACCACTTTCTACTGATTTTGGAATACACACTATCTTAGCTCTCACAAACTGCAATGCTTAGCCCCCACTTTCCACGAGCGAACATTCAAGTTTTTTCAATAAGTGAAGTATTTATTTAGACTTGATATATGTGGGGACCATTTAACATACATGACACTGTGCTACTGTTCTTAGCAGGTTTCTCTCTTCCTCTGTCAGGTTCTAAGTATTGTGATCACACTCTGACACATTTTCTCATAAGTCTCTGGTTTTTAGTGTGCTATTTTGCATAGTACCATATGCTTTCAAAGTACATACACTTCATCAGAACAGAATTGGTTGTATTGAGGAAATAGGGTGGGATGTGGTCATTTGAACAAGAATGCCCCCATAGGCTCATATGTTTGAACGATTAGTCATCAGGGATTGGAACTACTTGGGATGGGTTATAAGGTTTGGCCTTGCTGAAGGAATTATGCCACTGGGAGATGGGCTTTGAGGTTTCAAAAGCACAAGCTGGGTCTGGTAGTTCTTTCTTTTTTGGATGTAGAACTCTCAGCTACTTCTCCAGCACTTTGTCTGCATGCCTCCATACTCCCCAACATGTTGATAATGGACTAAATCTCTGAAATGGTAAGACAGCCCCAAATAAATGCTTTCCTTTGTAAGAGTTGCTATGGGCCAGGCAGTGGTGGAGCACATCTTTAATCTCAGTACTCGGAAGGCAGAGGCAAGTGAAGCTCTGTGAGTTTGAGGCCAGCCTGGTCTACAAAGCAAGTTCCAGGACAATCAGAGCTGTTACACAGAGAAATCCTGTATTGAAAAACCGAAGGAAATAAAAAAAAAGAGTTGTCATGGTCATGGTCTCTTCATGGCAATAGACCACTGACTAAGGCAGGTGGTAAAGCAGTTTGATTGGATGATCTTGAATTAATATGACAAAATAAACTTCCAAAAATTCAGTAAGGCGTATCAATACATATTTCTACTCTTTTTCTTGAAACACATCTATATTGAACTTTTTTCAATACACCTTTCTGATATCTTCTGCCCCATTGTGTGAACTGCCTAGACCAGCACTGGTGTGGGAAGGCACAACACTGGGTAAACTGGCCTGGAAATGTAGTTAAGTCAGTAGAGTATTTTCCTAGGATGCACAAAGCTCTGGGTTCAAACCCCAGTAACACATAAACCTAGCACGGTAGTCCACATTTGCAATCCCAGCACCTGGAAAATTGAGGAAGGAGGATAAGTAATTCAAGGTCATCTTCTGCTACATTGTAAGCTTGTGAATAGCCTGAGATACATGGAACACAATATCCAAAGATAAATAAATCTTTCAAGAGGGTAACAGGGACCCAGTGGCACTATCAGTCCAGAATTCTACTCTCACCTCACCCTCTCCATTGCCACATAAGAGCAATGCAAATGTTCTAACTAGAGAGAACCTGAAAGACATTTTATGATTTCTGGTTTTTCATTTTGCATCTTTCAGTAGTCAGCTCAATTACTATCATTCTACCCAGCAGATTCTCCCAGGCTTCATATTTGATCTTAGTGAATGATGAAGTCACTTCCCTGATACAGTGGTTACATCAGATTGCTGAAAATTATTTATAAGAGCTGTATGTTCACATGGGCATAGTCCCAGTGCATGCATGGAAAGCAGAATTAATTTTTTTAAGATTTATTTATTTATACATACAATGTTCTGGCTGCATGTATGTTTATACACCAGAAGAGGGCACCAGATCTCTTTACAGATGGTCGTGAGTCACCATGTGGTTGCTGAGAATTGAACTTAGGACCTCTGGAAGAGCAGCCAGGGCTCTTAATCTCTGAGCCACCTTTCCAGCCCCCAGAATTAATTTTTTAAAGATTCCTATTACCCTGTCACCAGAAAAACAAACATGGCAAAAGCTCCTGATCACCAGTAAACTTTCCCAGTAGTGCTCCTCCACTACTGTCTGGTTTTCACATTACATCATAGAGTTACTACAGTAGCAATTTTACGTGGATGCTTTGTGATCCCAGATTCTTCAGGCTTTAAGAGTTTATCTTGGATTCCAAGGCAGAGGTCTAATCATTTGAGAAGCAACAGACCCAAACTGCTGAATACAGTACTCATTGTGAAGCCAGACTTCTGGGTTCAACTCACAGCTTGCCAGATTAAAGACTGTAGGGAAGTTACTTAACTAGTTTTTATTTTAGTTTTCTTAACTACTAAGTGAATGAACAGTGCCTATCTAGTAAGCTTATTGTGGAGATCATAGCTGGCACATAGGATTTCAGCTACAACTTACCTCAGGTATGCCAGAGCCACAGGCATATGGTGCAAATACACGTACCAGGGAGACGGCCAGAAATGCAAACAGCAATGCCCACAGAATGTACATTAAGTAATTCAGAATGTAAGCACTGGCACCCTAAAAAGCAGACACAAAAGAAGGAAGAAGTGGTGAACCATAGCAGACCTGAGTAATGTACCCAACCCCACCATCTCCATTAGGAAAGCAAAGTTCTGATGGGCTCAGAGAGGTTCCTGCCAGGCCTGCATAAAGGAAAGCACCAGGTCTTGCTATTGCTATAGTCACTACACACAAACAGCATCAGGTGTTTCTCCAGGAGCTAGTTACACAAGCCTTCCAGTGTATGAAATCTCAGGAGTAATGGAAAGCAAGGATGATGCTGGGTTGTAATCACCACTTGCACTGTAGTTAATAAAAGGTGTGGCACACAAAAAGCTGCCTGTGAGACTCTGTACGATTTGTTTTGTCTTGTCTGTGGTGGGATGGCCTCTCTTTGTTTTCATTACAGCCACACCCAGACCACAGTGAATAAGCTTCAGTTCTATGTTTGAGAAGGTTGCTTCTCTAAGTGTGGTCCACGGACCAACAGCACCAGCATCACCTGGGAGGTTGGCAGAAACATAACCTGTGGGCCCCTACCCTTGGGCTGCCAAATAAGATACTTCACAAAGTCACACAGCCCAGTGTATTTTAACAAGCCTCTGGAAGATTCCAGCAAGTGCTAACATGTGACAGGCACTCCTAGAAGGGAGCTGCTTGAATACCCTCTTCAGAAAAATATATTGGACTATTTACTCCAAAGTAGCTAATCTTGTCTTTTCTTTCCTTTTCTGATACAAGCACACAGTCTGGGTACTTTATCCTTTCTCGAGGCTTCAGCTCCTTCTCACCATCTGGATTATTCAAGCAAGAGAAAAGGAAAAGATCACCTACCTACCTGTCAGGCCATGGCCATGGCCACATATATGCCTATTAAATGTAAGGACATGTTCCTGGAGACTGCAATGTGGCCACATATTTCACACACTATGTAGTGAGAAATCAGCCCAAGGAATACCTTTCATCCACTTAAATAAGTACATTTTGAAGGCTAAAACTAACTTCTCACTCTTTTAAAGAGCAATTCTTTGAAACAAAGAATAAATCTTACAACCAGTTGAAAAGATAGGCACCTCTATTTCCCCTGGAACACATGCTGCAAGTAGGAAAAAGATGGCAGTCAGCCAGGCCCATCTGCCCATGCTCATCAACCCAAGTCTAGAATTTCTTTCTGGAAATAATGGCAAGAATGTGTGAGATTTCAAGACTCCTGACTGCTTCTAAGATGTGAGGGAATATTCCATCAAGAGAAGGGATTAGTGAAATGGCAAAGTACATTGCAAATATCTTCAGCTAAGAAAGTCCGTCAAAAGAAACAGGGAAAGGAGAAGTTCAAAAAGATTACAGATACCCTCCCAACATACTCGAACTTTTACAGTTCTCCTATTACCCCTAATGTAAAGCTTTTTACCTAGCTTCTTTCACCTGGCCTTGATCAATCAATGTCCCTCCTCATCATCCTTCTTTTGAGTCAGAGTCTTACTATGGAGACTAGGCAAAATATGCATGACAATCTGAATTTCTAAATGCCATGAAGGTATGTACTAGATCTGTGGGTCACCCATATATTCATGTGCCCCAGAACTGCTTTTCACAGAAGCTTCTTCTGATTGGATCAGAAAAGGTCGATGGAAGATGATAACAGAAACCACATTGAAACGCTATTTCACACGCACTAGGTTAGCTACAATGAAGGCAGATGCTAGCAAGTGTTGTAAAGTAGGTAAGCAAATCAGGACCCTCATATATTGCTCACGGGAATGCAAATAAGTGCATCCACTTTGGAAACCATCCTACCAGTTCTTCAAAATGTTAAATCTAGGGGTCACCTTTCTCCCAGAGTTTACACTTATACCCAAAGGAGATGAACTATATGCTCCCACCTGGAACACAGATGTTCATGGTGACATTGTCATGCTAGTCAAAAAACAAGAACACATGTTCATCAAATAATATGCAGCCTAGCCATACAATGGAGTATCATACATCAATGAAAAGGAAGCAAATGCTGACTTAGGCTATAGCATGAAGCAACTTGGAAAACAATAGGCTAAGTAACACGATATCCACAAAGTCCACAAAGTCATGGATTCATTTAACTGAACTGTCTAGAAGGGGGAAATTTGTAGAGACAGAAAGGTCATTGGCAGTTGTTTGGGACTATTAATCAATGACTCTGGAGCAGAACAGGCAGATTGGGGGGGGGAGGTTATGGATAAAAATATTCCAAAATTGACGATGGTGATCATTACATAATTCTGTGACTGTGACCAAAGCTACTGAATTGTACTTTCTGCGGAAGTATCTTTTTTATTTTTTTTATTTTTATTTATTTTTTTATTGAAAAAAAATTTCCGCCTCCTCCCCGCCTCCCATTTCCCTCCCCCTCCTCCCCGTCCTCTCCCCCTCCCCCCACTCCTCTCCCCCTCCCTCTCCAGTCTGAAGAGCAGTCAGGATTCCCTGCCCTGTGGGAAGTCCAAGGTCTTCCCCCCTCCGTCCAGGTCTAGGAAGGTGAGCATCCAAACTGGCTAGGCTCCCACAAAACCAGAACATGAAGTAGGATCAAAACCCAGTGCACAGGAGATTGCTTCCTGCGAAAGTATCTTATAGTGGTATATTATTTGTGTTTTAATAAATAAAGCTTGCCTGAAGATCAGAATGCAAAGCAACACTAGTCATCCATACAGGGCAGGCAGTGGTGGTACACACCTTTAATACCAGCAGCCATACTAGTTAGCCATAGAGGCCAGGCAGTGGTGGCACAGCTTTAATACCAGCACTAGAGAGGAATATAAAAGGGGAGGAGATAGGAGTCATGCTCGGCGTCAGTCTGATGACTTGTGGAGGCAGGATTGCCCATTTTGATCTGAGGTAGACATAAGAGCTGGTGGCTGGCCGCTTTGCTTTTCTGATCCTCAGTTTGAACCCCTGGTTTTTATTACTCATGCTACAGATCTGATGAAGTATAAATTGGCTCCCTGAAACTGTTACTTTATAAACTGATGTAAAAAAAACCTTTCTTCCGGCATAAACATAAAAATCAACTCCATTTCTTCAGCACAAAGAAGAAACTACCTTTAGTCAGAAAAAGGCAAATATACCAGCTGTGATAGTTCGTGTCTGAAATCTCAGAACTTGAGAAGCTGAAGTAGGAGAATTACTCTGTGTTCCAGGCCAGGATGGGATATAGTCTGAGAGCATGTCTGAAAATCAGTAAAGAGATAGGGGAGACAGGAAGAGAGAAAAGACAGACAAAGTCAGGGAGAGAGGAAGGAAAGAAAGAAAATACACATATAATGCCCATGAGCAAGGGGCTCCAAGGTCAGCAAGGGCTTTCTAGGTAAACTCTGAGAAGCCGCAGAAATCAATGAAAGCAAGCAACAGCACTATTTAAGCCAGAGAATATTATCTGAAGGTGAAATCATAGGTGTTCAGGAACTTGGGATTATGGTGGTCCCAAGACCCTACACAGATACACACCTCTGACTGGCTCAACAGAAGCTCTGACCACTTCTGCCACAGGGGACACTTGTCCCTGTCCTCGAAAGTGGTCTCATTAGAGGTCCAGCAGCACTGCTCATGACTGTACCAGAAAGCAGATAGACAGACACCCTCCTTCAGGTCTGTCATCCAGTCAACAGCAAGATCGATGACCCCAGCCAAGGTACCTAGAAGAAGAGGAATAAATCATGGAGAAGAATTGCCACATGGAAAGAACACAGGGCATTCCCAAAGCTGAGTGCACACCCATGCTACTGCCACTAAAACTGACAGCTGCTTTCATCCACTTGGAAGTAACCTGAGCATTTATGGCATGGGCCAGTCAGTCAGTAGGCATCCCAAAGAGCCACAAAAGCCCTAGGGCCTTAAATCAGGTAGCAGGGCTATGTGGTTCCGTTCTCTTAAGTTGTGAGGGCAGAAAAAAGTTTAGGATTCAGTCATCACTCTCTGAGTTTTTTAGTGTCAATATACAGCTTGAAAAATTATCCTCAATTTAGGAAGATGGCTCAGGAGATAAGACTGTTTTTTATGCAATCATAAGGACCTGAGTTCAAATTCCAACACCTACATAAAACCTGGGCATGACCATGTATACCTATATTCCCAGTGTTGAGGGAGGCAAAATGGAGATACCGGAAGCTCCCTGGACAGCCAGTTTAGCCAAAAGAACAAACTTCAGATACAGTAAGAGGTCCTGCCTGGAGGGAATACGGTAGAAATAAACACAGGAAGACATCTTTGTCTGGCCTCAAAATACAAATATACTGGTGGGTGTACTCACACACACACAAACACACTCACACACACACACAACACATGCATAATTCACATCACATGCACCAAACACATAAGCAAGCAAACAACCCTTCCCTCTCCATGGCTTTCTCATCAACATTTAAGTCACCCCTAGTCCACATTCCCCTCCAGACACTGTCCTGGAGCTTCCCTTCTCTCTTCTTTCCCTCAGTCCAGTTCATTCTCTCCTTCTACTAGGAAAGCAATAGCCTGTACCCAGTCTTCATTATTCAGAACAGGTCATACAGCGCACAACCAAGAGGCCCTATGTAGCCCACTGCCTTTTTGTTACTAAAGCTTTAACCCAGCACAGCCACACTTTATCATTGGATGCTGACTGTGGCTTCCTGCTACAGTAGCAGAGTTGAAGTATAGAGAGAGAAACTACACAGCTCAAAAAGCCAAAAACACTTATTTGCTAGCCTTTGATAGAAAGAAGGTTGCCAACCCTAGTTTTAGGCCTCTTGGCATCATTTGAAATTGCCAAGCACTCCATTCTTCCAGAAGCTCATGGCTTCTGCAAAGTTTAGCTCTCCTGGTTTCCCCCTTGCTTTCGGATTTTCTGTCTGTTTTGATCTTTCCTGCTTCTCCACTCTGCTTTCTAAGGGGGATATTTCTTCAAAGCTTGACCCTAAAACCTTTTTCTCCTTTCATAGTATGCATTCTTTCCTGACTGTCTTATTTGTATCCCTCTTGCTACTAAGCCCTAAAGGTATATCCAGGCCCAGAGAACAGTGTGTGTGTACGTATGCATGTAGGTGTGTGCATGTATATATGTGTGTGTATGCATCTATATGTGTTTATACATGTGTGTGTGTGTGTGTGTGTGTGTGTTACTTCAACTAGTTTATATACGAGAAAGAAAAGGTCTTGTCATCTAGCTTTTGTGTCACAGTTAAGGTCAGGCCAGGCATCTGGACCTGGGTCCACTTCAAAAGACACACATAATGTTCAATTCCATTTACATGGAATGTCTAGAACAGACAAATCTCCAGTGAAAGGAAGTAGACTGGTAATGGTTTAGATCCTTCCATAGCTAAAAGGTGCAGATAATATTCAGGCGGGAATGATAAAATTGTTCTAAAATTGGTCATGATGATAATTGCAAACTCTATAAATACACTAAAAACCACTTAATTGTACACTTTAAATGGGTTAATCATGCAATATGTGTAGTATAATTCAGTAAAGCTGTTACACACACACACACACAGAGAGAGAGAGAGAGAGAGAGAGAGAGAGAGAGAGAGAGAGAGAGAAACTAAAACTGGTGAGAGAGGCTCAGTGAGAGAAAGATGTGATTTTTTTTAGAGAAATGATCAGAGAAAGTTTCAAGTAGAAAGTGACATGTGAGCAAGATCTGATGATCACCCCCAAATCCATCATTTTTCAACCGTTCACAGTCACATTACTCTTCATCCAATCTCCTTTGCTGATGCAAGTTATTTTGTGAACCATCTCTGCTTTGGTCTGTGGTACAACAGTGCCGCCTTATGGTAATTTCTGGTAAATTAGTTCTGCAGAGGATAAGTGTGATTCCTCTGCGAGGATCCCAAATAAAACCAAGGGAACATCCATCCAGGCAGTTGGACACCTGAGTCCTCCCCCTCCCCCCATTGGAGCCAAGGGAAAATGGTGCTACTTTCTAGATCTTGCTCCAATATGCATCCAAATCCAAAGAACACTGGATGTGCCTATCTTTAAAACCCCTTCATTCTGTACCTTCCTTCACTTTTTACTGTGGCCGTAGAACTAGCTTTCGAAGTGTTTGCTGCCTCCAGTTACACATTAGAATCATAAAGGGAAAAGAGGTCTTTACATCATCATAGTGTTTTCTCCAGAAATGCTGTTTAATACCAACCCTCATAGTCTTCTAAAAAAAGAAGCTAACTTCAGCAAACGACTACCACAAAGAGCCAAATATCTACTATCCACAAAATGGCACTGAGATTATGACAACAGAAGATGAGGAGTCTCTACGGGTTGGAACAGTGTATAGTCTAGATGCAACTGTCCTGGATTCACCTTGGATCCTGTGGGTGGTTAACATTATTTTGAATGTCACAGCATACTCAATCATGCATTTCAGGGCTTTCAAGTAGTAGGAAAAGCCCACCACATGTGATGCTTGATGCTTCAAAATTATAATGCTTCCACATTTTGTAACCCCATAGATAGCTAGGTATAACAGAATATAAAATGTGTGCTTTAGGTAAAATCCCAGGGTAGTCATAAATCTATGCAGTGTATGCACAAGGCCAAATAGAGCTGTTAATTGCAACTTTCCAGAAGTTCACACTTGCTTTGTGAGCTATCTCTGTTTTGGTCTGTGATGCCACAGTTAGGGTCAGGCTCCTGCCTTAGTCTTGGTAGAGTCTAGAAAAAAAATAGTCATTCAGGTATTTTCAATCAATAAATCTCTTACATTGAGATAGAAGATGAATACTCCATAGCTTCAGTGTCTCCTAAACATCTGGAGTGTGGGGGTACTAAGAGTACTGATGGAAGAGGGTCATCTTTCTATCTGTTGTTTCATTGGTTAAATAAAGAAATTGCCTAGGACATAAAATTAGGTAGGCGGAGTAGACTGAACAGAATGTTGGGAGAAAGAAGCAGATTGAGGAGTCTCCATGATTCTCCTACCGGACACAGATGCAGGTTAAGATCTTCCCTGGTAAGACACCTCGTGGTGTTACAGGGATATTAGAAATGGGTTAGGTCAATATGTAAGAGCTAGCCAATAAGAGGCTGGAACTAATGGGCCAGGCAGTGTTTAAAAGGATACAGTTTCCGTGTAATTATTTCAGGGCATAAGCTAGCCATGCGGGCGGCCGGGTGCCGGGGACGCAGCCTCACCACTCCTACTACAACAGAGTACAGCACACATACATATCTTGCACATACCTGCCAGCAGCCCAATGAGTAGCATCACCACCCATCCTGACCACGCATCCAACAGGCTCTTGATGAACTCCCAGATTGACTCCTTACTTTTGCTGGTTATCTAAAAATAAAATACACAAAGCAGTTGATCAGAACACAAGTCCATTTCCTGCTTCTTTCTCTGAAGTAGATTCCTCAGGAAACAACGTGACTGAGGAGATGAATATAATTAAGCCATCAAATTCCCGGTCAAACTGTTCTTGCAGCAATGCAAGACTGATTAAATGGGCTTTCTAGTTCACAAGGCTATATGGATGCAGCACAGAATCAGTGTCTCCCTTCAAAATGGATTTTAGATAATCAGATTCAATATGGATTTTTAATTAAGTACTCTTTTAGGGATACTCTAACTCTCCATAGACCATTATGGCATTTTTATAGCATACCTCTTTCCCTCCCCATTCTGGGGGAGCACTACACTCCTCGAACATCATCATCCCCCCACCTATTCTTGGTTTCCTATTTCATTCCTGTCTGCTTCTTCCAAGTCTTTGGCTCTGATTCCAACCTGCCTTCCTCTGTACGCAAAATGTGTACCCTAACTTTTGCAGGGTCCGGTTTCCAACACCACATCTCTCTTTAAGTGCCCAAGCCACCTTGGCCATGTCTCAAGCTTCAGCAACCATCTGCAGGCTAGGGCTCTCTCACTCTCCAAGGTGAGCCCAACCTCACACTGAGCTGCACAGCATACTATTCCCAAGCCCCTGCTGCTCCTCTTCCTCCACTCATTAGCAAAAGCCCTGCCTTGTCTGACAAGAACCTATGGTTCTATGACTCCATTTCACTCTGCTCCCTTCTCTAAAGCCCTACATGGCTTGAGACTTGATCATGATCCCACAGGCATCTTTTTTTTCAGCCTCCAGTAAGAACTCCTCCTGCCTTGTGACCACACTCCTATGCTTCCTGTTTGTCTCTCTGCAGTACCTCTCTACTGTCCTCTTCAGCCTTCACCAACTCCTCCCCATGGGTTATTTAATCATTCCTAACACAGCCCCGTAGCATACTCTTCTAGGCTCATCTCTATTCATCTCCTTCTGGGAATCCTCCAACAAACCTAGGACTCCCTGGAATGATCTGAAGCTGTCACATTCTTTCATGTGTCCGTGAATTAAAAAAAAAAAAAAACTCCCTATATTTAAGATCTTTTCTCTCTCTTTGACTACCAAATTTTTGGTCACATTGAGAGAACAAATTAAAATCTTACCTCTCTGAAAAAAAAACTCTCTAATCATCCCTCATAAATGAGTCCATAGCATTTGCCATATTCTAGTATACACTAGATATCTGGCAGCATAATAACATAACACAGACACACATACAATCTCATCCAATCTTCAATGTCATCACTTTTTTCTCAAGGATTAATGAGTAAATGAGGCCCAGAAATGACAGCCTCAAACTCAACCACCATGAAGGTGTTAAGGGCAAGAGGTGCTTCAAATGTGTCTGACTTCAGGGTCCCTTTGTTGTTTACACTGGTCATATTTCTTCCCAAAGTATGTAACTCTCAGTCTTTGTCTCTGCTTCCTCTACTAGATCTTTCCTGCTGTGGAACCCACACATGATGCACAGCCTCAGGCTCAGACTATAACCTGGAGATGGAAGCATTGTGGATCTATCAGGAAAGACTCCTTTAGCATAGTACCACCTACCTTTCTGTGTCTGTCAGTGTCCCGGGACTTTTCCCTTAGCCAGTCTATGGTGTGAAAGTCCTCATAGGTCCCCACATCAGGGAAAGGCTCATCAAGGAAGTCCATTAGGTTCCCAGAGGCACTCATGGCTCCTGAGCTGACCATGCTAGTTACTCCTGGAAGAGAAGTCCACCTGTTAAAATGCAAACAGGGCTCGTGTGTAGCTCAGGACAAGAGTATCTGCATAGTATGCATGGGAGCTTGGGTTTGATCCCCAGCTCCACAAAGAAACAAAGTAAGCATGACCACAACATGAATATAGCACCATAATCCAAGGACAATCTACTTTTCTTTTTCTCTGGTTATATGTGTATTTTGTGTGTTGGTGTGTATTTCTGTGTGTGGTAGGGTGTGTGCTATGTGTGTGTGTGTTTATGTGGAGGGGTACGTGTGGTACTGTGTACTGGACAGACCTTTCACATGTTAGGCAAGTACATTTGGTTGTGGGACAAATGTCTGTATTCTGTCAATTATATTTTAACAAAACGCTGATTGGTCAGGAGCCAGGCAGGAAGTATAGGTGGGACAACCAGATAGGAAGTATAGGTAGGTCAATGATAACAGGAGAATTCTGGGAAGGAGGAAGCCCTTTCCTCAGCAGTCCTGACCTGACCATAGAAGCAGCAAGATGTGACTGCCCTGCTGAATAAGGTACTGAACCACATGGCTAACACAGACAAGAATAATGGGCTAACATCAGTTGTAAGAGTTAATAAGAAGCCTGAGCTAATGGGCCAATCAGTTTATAGTTAATGTAGACCTCTGTGTGATTTCTTTGGGACTTAATGATTGCGGGAACTGTGCAAGACAGAAAACTCAGTCAACATACATTACCATTAATTCTTTTTCTAACTGTTTCTAGAAAGGGTCTCATGTAGCCCAGACTGACGTTGTTACAGAGAATGTCCTGGAACTCTTGATTCTCTTATCTTTGCCTTTTGTGTACTAGGATTACAAGCATGTGCCACTATTTCCAGCTTCCATTTTTATATAACATAAAAATTATTTCCAGTATTTCTGCTGTAATGTAATATGTACACAGTTCATCCTTAGTATTCACCAGTTATCTTCTACAAAGTGATATTGAACATTGAATTACGAAATACCAAACAGCCGGGCGGTGGTGGTGCAGCCTTTAATCCCAGCACTCGGGAGGCAGAGGCAGGCGGATCTCTCTGAGATCGAGACCAGCCTGGTCTACAAGAGCTAGTTCCAGGACAGGCTCCAAAACCACAGAGAAACTCTGTCTCGAAAAACCAAAAAAAAAAAAAAGAAAGAAAGAAAGAAAGAAAAGAAATACCAAACAATGCCCCCAAATGAATCCTGCAAGCCTCTGCTCACAAATTTTTTCAACCTATCAATAAATCTTCTTTTTGTTTGTGTTTCTATTTAAAGATATTTTATTTGATAGACACACCTCACTCAGTATCCTTGAACTCAACCAACTGCATCACTGCTGAGGCCTGATCAAAGTTTCTCTATCAGATATATTTTCTCCAAAAAGCACATCACAAACAGTGCTCTAGGACATAGGAACAAGGACACTTTGAAAAGCAAAATTACCAACAAAAGGAACACAGGTTTGGGGTTTTGTTTTTAGTGAAGAACTAAATAAAACAGGAAAAAGTCACTTGTTCACAGTATGACCATGGAAACGCAAAGGTTACCTTCTCTGACCACAGCTGCCAGATGTGTTCCTAATGACTAGAACTTTTCACCATTCTACACAATTTCCAAGTCAGTGACTAACCTTTAAAGTGCCACTACTGACTTGGTACTATATATAGTTAGGTTCTTGAAAGTCCCCTAAAAATCTGAGTATTGCATATTTTATCCTCAAGGTGGCGCTATCAAAAAGAAGTGAAACCTTGAGCAGGAGCTGAGGGGGAGGGGGTTGGTCCTTAGATGATAAACTGTGTGGGCCCCAAAGGAAAGTACTAGGCCCCAGCTCCTTCCCCTCACTCCCCTCTCATGTCCTGGCCATGAAGTAAGTGTCTGTTCCACCACACAATCGTACCACAATGTACACTGTCAAATCCCAAAGCAAGGTGGCTAATTGATCACAGACTGAATTCTCAAAAACCATGAACCCAATAAGCCCTCCTTTTTACATTGACTAGATAAGCTATTTTGTTACAGGGATGCTCTACTGAAGAACACAGAAAATGGCAAATTTTAGTGAATAGGCAAATTTGTAAATACGGTTCACAAATAAGTATGAGCTTCTTTCTGTGTTCTATAAAAGGAAACAGTCAGATTGTCAAATAATAATAATAACCAAAATCATTGGTCCTCCTGAGAGACAGAATAGACAAAAGAAGTAAACAGCCTCTGTGGTTGTCATCATCCAGATGTGTAACAGTAGCTGCAGAGTAACTTTTATTCACAAGTGGCAATCAAAGCAATCTGTAGGTGGCAGCAGCTCTCTGAGAAAGGAGGGCCATGAATATCATCAAAAACAGTAGGACAGACTACTGATAGCCAAGAGGCATGCAAAGCTGGCAGCACAGTGACCTGGGCAAGGAGCACTGGGAAAAGACACTCACTTAAGTTTTTCTTAAAACACAGTCTAAATGGATCTTGCTGCCAGGACAGTAAAAGTCTTGAATGTCTTAGATAACAATTCCATTCCAACTGTTCAGACTCCCCTGGCCTGGAAACCCACCGATCATAAACCTCCCATATTCTGCCACCCTCCGAGTCTCATTCCAGATCACATAGGAGTCCATTTGAGGCACAGAAAAAAATTGCAGCAGGATCAATGTTCACTCAGGTTAACAGAAAAAATAAATGACTTCTACAAAGACATGAGCCTGGAAAATGCACCAAATAAAAATTACTTTGGCAAAAAGCATGGAAATTTGAATTATAGTATGAAGGCCACAAAAGGCTAGGAATCAATGGTTAAAACATTGAAGGTGGTTATAAAAATACTTCTGTTCAGACCTCTCTCATTGCTTTATATATTAACGAATCTAGAAGACTCAACCATGTCCTGATGAAACTTCACTTTAATCAACTAGAAAAGTCACTATGAACAAAATATGGTAATCACCTTACAAGCAATAAAATGGCCACAATGATTGATTTTTTGACCATCTGTGCAACTCAGCTGTTTTAAGTTTCAAAGTTTGATGTCTGAGCTGTGCCAAGTTGAAAACTACACCTACTGATGAGTACCCAGGGAAGAAACACATTGCATAAGTCAGTAGCAACCAATACCATAACCAAAAATATAAGGGAAGGAATAAAATTAGAAAGCTGGTAGCATTCTCATTTTCACAAAACAACATGATCAAAACCTCTTATAGTAAGGAAACTCTCTGATGAGAAAAGATGACAGGTTGTAGACACACAATTCAGAGGTCTTGTCAAAAGACAAAAAAACACCTCAGTTAATGGAGGAATAGAGATTTGGTTCTGCTACTAAAGGAAAATTGGTGCTGGACAGAGTGGCTCATGCATGTAATCCCAGTACTCGTTAGATGTGGCAGAAAGACTGCCATGAATTCAAGATGGGGCTACAAACTGAGACCTATCTCAAAAAGTGGGGAGGGGACTACCTGAAATCTAACCAAGTCTCTATTGCAGCACCTACTCCAGGCTATAGTGCTACAATGAAAAAGTCAATCCAGAGAATAAACCCATCAGCAAGCTTTTCACTTAGGGGAGAGGTGAAGGGGTGTGTGTGTGTACAGACAAGTGCCAGGGGGCAAGCCTAGGTGCCGCACTTTGCCCCCTACCTTTTTTGAGACAAGATCTATTATTCATCACTGTGTACACCAGGCTACCTGGCTCCCCAGCTTCCTGGGCTTCCCCTGTCTCATTCACATCTCATCATAGGAGCTCTGGAATTATACATAAATATGTTACCACAACCAGTTTTACAGGGTCATGGGGATCTGAATTCAAGTCCCATGATTGCAGGACAAGAGCTTTTCCCATTGAGCCTTCCCCACAGTGCATTCATCTGCAGACATTGATGGAGAATGTCAGGTATGACTACTAGACCCAGAATTAGTAGGGAAAAATAATCAACTGAGTTTTGATTGCCTCCCAGGTACCCCCAAAGGAGTCGCTGATGTCTCTCTTGGAACAAGGAGAAAGGACCAAGGGATGACTGCAAAGGGTACAAACAGAGAAAACATGGGCAAGGAAAATGAAGGGAACTCTGCCCAGTGAGATAGCACAAATAGAGGATTAACTGGAGTCCAGCCAGATATGGGAGCTTCATGCTGAGACTAAGCCTTACAGATGCTCTTTTGCCTTAAGGCATTAGATAAAAGTCCTAGGTGCCCTGAATGTTTTCCAAAGTCCCTTTGTAGGTAAATAGTGGTTGTATAGGAGAGAGTCTATCTTCCCATGCAGAGTATCACCAGCATGAGCTAGGGAAAATTCTGGTCCTTCCTCTCTCTTCTGGGCATTGTCATCCATTGCTGCTTCAATCCCCTTCACCTCTGTGAAGTCTGTAGTGTGGATAAGTCACCTGATTAATGATCAACTCTATCAGCTCAGTATGGTGTAGGAACCCTACGTCATCATTTGCACCACTTATTTTTAGTCTTTCTTCCCAACAGGTACATCTTGCTTGGCAGATGATAGCTCTGCTTATGACCTTGAGGCCATTGTATCAAAGAAAGACAGCATCCTCCAGTCTGAATCTGAGATCCCTTGTTGATCTGAATCACCTACATCAAGTCTCTGCAAATCCACCATACAGGAAAAGTCTGACCATATAATTTTGTAAATCAAGTTTTATCAGCATACAGTCATGCCCACTTTGGCTCTGGAAAATGAAGTCTAGTGAAGTCCACTCTGTAGAAAGGAAAAACAACTCCAGTGGTGAAGGGGATTGAAGCAGCAATGGATGACAATGCCCAGAAGAGATAAGAAGGACCAGAATTTTCCCTAGCTCATGCTGGTGATACTCTGCATGAGAAGACAGACTCTCTCCTATACAACCATTATTTACCTACAAAGGGACTTTGGAAAGCATGCAGGACACCTAGGACTTTTATCTAATCCCTTAAGGCAAAAAGTATCTGTAAGGCTTAGTCTCAGCATGAAGCCTCCAAGAGACTGGGATCAAAGTCTTCAACAGCAGATGAAAACAGACTCTATCCCGTAAACTCA